CGCGCTCCGCATGGGCCGCTGATGTGTGAGCAGCGCTAAGGCCGAGGGGGTGACGGTTGGTTAGCCCAAGTGACGAGTGACAAACCATCCCCAACCGGGAGTAAAACCTGCAAACACAGCAACGTGCAAGATACCATTCAATGTACAAACTGCCCAAGAATGGAGTACAGTCAATACTGAAAGCTGCACTGCCATGCACGCACTCCATCACACCACGCATGCGCTTGCACGCGACGTGGGTGGATAACGTTTGCTCTGTGTCATCCGGCATGTCTTCCTTACGTATACCGCTTACATGAGAAATGCGAGCATCGTTGCGCAGAGTTTCCCGAAGGGTCTGCATACACTCTGCAACTTTTGCATATCTTCTGGCCCGTGCAGATTCCCACTGTGTGGGGTGGTTCTCCCACCACGCGATTCTTTTTCCATCCTGACCTTTGAGCCATAAAGTGTTGTCTATCACGAGGACTCCAGTAGGGGCAAGCAGAGGACGCTGTGGGTTTAGTATAGCCGAAATGTACTCTAGGTATCTTTTCTTTTCAGCATCGAGATAGATGAGGTCAAAGCCACCATCTGGCAGCCTGCTGCCTGATGTTTCCTCATCCCTGGTGGGTTCTGATGCGTTTCCCCAAACAGGTGGGCTCTTCAACACCTTGGGGAGAGACTGCAGCCACTGCATTGCGTCCGCCTCCATCAAAGTAACAAATCGACCCCATGGGGAAGAGCTCACCAGCCGGCGGGCTGCTGTTGCTGCTCGTGGGTCTTTCTCTATGGCCAAAATACCAAAGCACCCATCTTCACCCCCTTCCTCACAAACAAGGCCCTCAGCTAGAGCTAGGGCTGCAGGCAAGCAAAAAGAATATACGAACTGAAATGGCACCGGTCGAACCACTTGCAGCTCTAAGAAGAGATGTGTCAAGAAGAGAGGCACATCACTGTAAAACACGCTGCAGGAGTGTCCCACAGAAGCTCCAGAGAATTAGAAGGCACCACAACATGGTTCGACTACGAAATACCCTACTAGAGATGCCAACGAAGGCGCCTATTTCAAGGATCGACCGAGGCCTCTTGAGTTTGCTGATTGCTGAGAGAATGCGCGAGTGCAGAGGCCCCGACCAGAACTGTTGGACCTCATGTTGCAAGCCAGTTAAGTCTTTTGCCCTCCGTCGCCCTTCTTCTAGTAGCGTTTCTTGTCCTGAGGGGGAAGACGCAGCGGCTGCAACGTTGTGAGACCACTGCCAGCAGTCTTGAGTTGTAGCATTGCAGACGCGCCCACAATCCCCAACATGAGCCTGCTGGGACAACTCCTTGGTTGGTACATGCTTCAAAAACGAAGCGTCTGCATATACACACGAGCCTTTATAGTGCGGCAGCATATGCCCAACCCTTCCGCAACATCGTACGCTGTCTTAAGATGCGGCGCAGGACGCGAGAACAGCTACTGCATCCTCCAACATCATCCCGCAAAAAGCACATGAGCTTCTTACCAGATACCGTATCGGCGGCAGCAGTGTATTTTAGAGCAGCCAAAAGCTGCTGAGCCCTCATCGACCATAAACGCCTTTGCTGCAGCAATTTTTGGTGTGTATGCCTGACTTGCATCCGCCTCTGAGTCTGTGCATGAATTTCTCTTTTACCATCCTCCGCTCCTTCCCGGGCACATGCTGACGAACAGAAAACCCCAATTGAGGAGCAGCACGAGGAGCACAGCACAACACGCCGACCGCACTGTCTGTTGCTGCAATTTACTAAGCGGCCCGAGGGTCCTGAACAGATGGTGCAATGAGTCAACAAATCCGGTGTAATCTGCTGGCACATCCTATGATCGAATACGTAATTACTTCCCACGAACAAACTCTCCGGTGCAGGAGTATGCGAGCCCATCACTGCGGGATCACATGGCTCTGAGACAGTGCGCTGCTGCAATGTTTCGTTACCGCTGAGACCTTCATCTGTTGCACACTCATTGGCATTAGCAGCAGTAAGGTTTTCTGACGCGTATGACCCTTCCTCTTCTGCACCAAGTTTGATCCCTTCGCCCCTATCAGACCGTTCCTTGAAGCTCTCGATGTAATTTTTGTATGCTAGGATACCTCCTTTGAGTCGTGTTACCCGAGGAAAACCAAGAATTTGTTTGACGAAAGCTCCCGCCTTTACACAGCGGATGCCACCTGTGCAGTACATCATTACCTCCACGTCCTTGCTGCTACAACTGCCTTTACTAGAGACAGATCTAGCCTCCCTGGAAGGAAGCTGAATCCCTGCCCTGGCCAGGGCCTCCTCCAGCGGACCGCCAGAAGCAAATGAATCCGCGAAGGTGAGCGTATCTACACATTGCGATCCTTTGAAATGGCCGACCGCGTACTCACTCGCATTCCGCATATCCAAAAGTACGACTTTCGGTGTTCGCTGCTTCTGTGGTTGTTGCTCCTGCAACAAGGCCACAAGCTTACGATGCCAAACCTCAGGCTCGACCTCCTCTCCGCAGTCTGACCAGTCTAGCGGGCAGTCAAAACCATCCCTCAGCACCTGGTGGCGAGGACGGATATGAAGTGCATCAAATGGTGGAGAGCTCCAATATTTGTAGAAGGGGATAAGGCAATCGGGAGTCACCTGAAGACCATCTTCCAGGCCAGGTATCTGCTGCAGCTCAGCGATGATAGACGCAAACACTGAAGAAGGGACCGCCAACTGGGCATTAATACCCTCTTCTGCTACGTAGGCCCTACCTAGTACTCCTCTAGGCCCCCAAAGAGCCCTTAGCAGCTCAGCAAGGGCCCTAGGTGAACTTACGCGGAAGAATTTGTACAACGACACAAGCTGGTACGGTGAGGAAGCATCCTCGTTGCTGTGAGCATGAGCCTGGCAAGAAGACGTGTTAACTAAAGGAGGCGGAAGAGGTACACGCTTGTCGGAAGAAAATGGAAAAGAGGGTAGAGGGGGCTCCAGTTGAAGCTGCAGTGACAACTGAGCACCCCTAGGGAGACGCAGGATACGCAAGGCAGTGATCCACTGGGCCCCCACTTTGCTGCTGCAGTTCCTGCTCCCAACATCGTTGCCTTCAGGGTTGTCACTGGCTCTCTTCCACGCAGTGGCACAAGATGCAGAGTGCGGCAGACGCCGGTAAAGGCCGAGTAAGGGTTTATAGTGTTCCCTAAGAACCCTTTGAGCTTCTCTATCAGAACTAAGCGGCCACACCGCCGGGAATGGGCACTGCTCTAGACCACTCGATTCCCTGCTATTTGCTGACAGTCCGGCAGACTTATTAGATTCTTCGATGGGTGAATGCGGTGCCAGTTGGGCCTTCTTCGGCGCAGTCACGCGGGCAGCCAGCTGCATGGGAATCCCCTCGTACAAGTTCCCTCCCCATTTGAGAGCCTTACAGACAGATTCCTTCAGGACCTCCAGAAATGGCTGTTGAGGTGAATTGCTGACTGAGCTAAGGGGTGAGCAATCCTCCGATACTTCGTGAATCTCCCCACCGCGCACCGGCCCGCAATTTTCTGTGGGCTTCTCCACTTGACACTGTAAGTAAGGACTCGTTTCGGTTTCGCTCTGTAAATCGCGAGGAAATCCAAGTAGACATAAAGGGAGGAATATATGTCGTTTATGGGAGCATGGGGGTAGCTCCAAAGCCCTCCTCGTCTCCGGCGCTATTTCTACTTGCAAAGGAACAACATCGAGAACTTGGACTTTGGTTGTGTTTCTTCGTAGCTGAAATGTTGCATCAGCTGCTCTTGCTATTCCAGGCTTTAGCGGGCCGCAGCAAGAAGCGCTTTCCGTTGAGCTCCCAGAGGCCTTATCCCAGCCGACAACAATAGGCAGGCTCTCCACTCTGTGGTTCAGCCATACGCACCTAGGGCAATCCGATTCGTCACCTGCTGGCCCTCTTAAGTATGATGCAGCGCTGCGTGGCGTATTGCTACGACTGCGGTTACTACGGGCTGTTGTGGAGCAACCTACCGCAGGCCCACTCTCACAACTGCGCGGCACTAAAAAGGAAGCCCTCGTGGCCCCTGAGTGTCCACAAGCCGGGTTCAATACTCCATGGAGAAAAAGCAGCAGAAGTAGCCATCGGAGGAGGGCACGCAGGGCAGGACGCTGCTGTGTGTGGGACTCCCTGGGCATTGCCGGCGAAGAAGTGGCGATTCATCGTATTTCTGGCCTTGGTAGTGCTGCTGCTAATGCGCGTTTCATTGATATTGATCTTATGGCTTCTGTCACTATTTCTGTAAGCGCTGGTAGGCTCTTGACACCTTCTCGAGTGCGTGTCGGTTGCGTAGAGTATTTCGGCTGCTAGGGAGGGGCCCTACTAAAACGAGCCCCTAAGCCTTGAGGATATCCCTATGGACTTCGGATAACTGTTTTTTGTCATGAAAGATCCGTAACTGCTTTCATCATGAAACGCTTCTCCTCACTGTCCAGTAAGCATGTTGGCGGCGCCGCAGACAACGTGGGGGCCCCCTGTCCTTAGATCATCAAGGGCCTTAAGCCCAAGGGAGGCCCGAAAGAAGGTAAACATCAAATAGCTGATTACTTTAATAGGTTTAAATGACCAATAAGTTTCCACAGTCTCATTTATCTAGAAGGGAACAGTGCTGCTCTAAATCTTGCGGGTCACTCGAGCCTCATCTGCGGTCCCCGACACACGGCTTCCCGTAAAAACTTCGCGACCAAATTGTTTATTAGCGGCTCATCAAGGCTTTACTATGGCAAATTCAGCTACTGTTATTGTGGCAACAAAGGAAGGAGCAGCAACCCAAGCAGCACTTTTATGCAAGGCAAGCAGCAGCAGTTCGCTGGTGAGACCTGTCCAAGCAGCTACAACATGAGGCGAGAAGAAATTGTTACACCAGGCATGCTCACAAACGAGAATTCCGCGGCATCCCGCCTACGGGCAGTATCCCAACTCCAGCGTGCATCCCGTCTCGAAGTAAAGATGCCGTGTACATATTCCTCGATATTTAAAGGTTTTGCTAGATATTTTAGAAGACTCTGAGATGCGCACTTTTCTGGAGCTGTTCTGTCTGGTCCTATCTGCACTATTCCGCCAGTGTCTAGAAGTAAGCGATGCTGCAATTCTCTCATGCTGCCACGTACAGCCGGCCGGATTCTGGCAGCCACGACAGCCTCTTCAGCTGCAAGTAAAGATATGCAGGACGGGCAGATCTTTAGCTGGGAGTCTTATGCCACGCGTTTCATTTATTCTCCATCCGCGAGCCAATCTCCTTACCAGGACCATTGTAGGATGTTTCAGCAGACCGTTGGGCCCCTTCTGTTCGTCTATCGACCACAAACGTGAGAGACAATTTCACTTAAAACAAGTTGATACAGGGCGGCCTCCAGAACTACCATCAGCAGCAACACAAACAGCAGATGAATATGCTAACCCAGGTGGTTCTGTGATGAGCTCCGCATTTTTTGAGGTGGCTCGCAGATGGCTCAGCCTCTCTAAGGTCTTCCGGGGGGCCCCCACAGCAGAATCCCGTATAAAAATTTTGATGCACCTGGCATTTCAGGAAACCAATGGCAGCGATTTCCGAAATTTCGCGGGTAAGCGGCGGCTCACGCGCATCAAGCAGTCTGCGCACGGCCCAAGTGCCGCATCAGAGGCGCTTGAATCGGGCTCAGCAGCAGGAGTTGATGAAGCATCAGTCTCTCCAAGCTCCTCAGATTTAGGTCTCAGTGATGTATGGAGGCCCGTCACCGGTTGTGCAGCGATGGCCGCAGTTAAAGTTTCACTTCATTCCCCCGTGAGGCCGCAACAGAGGAGCTTGACCACCAGCATCACGAGCAACAGCCAGCTGTGCTGTGTCGCAGCAAAGCAGGGAGCAAAAGTGCACGTTCATGGGGAGAGTGATTCACTTGTTGTTGGGGGTTTACTACAACTGCTCTCTAGAAGCCTCAGTGGGAGTGCTCCCTGCGGGGTGTTTGCCCTGAGCGCCGTAGGGCCCACTAAGCTTCTGCAGTTTAGCAGTTTACTGAATTTGCTACCGGACTCGAGAGTGCGGGGCTTTCGGACGGCCATGCACATTCTTATGAGCTCCACACAAGACCTGCTACAACGATACTTTTGCAACGAGGTCCTCCCGCCTTCTGCCGATCTGCCTCAGAATGCACATGGGGAACAAGGTACTGCTCCAAGCAAACAAGGCATCACAACAGGTAGAGCACAGGCTAAAGTGCCAAAAGGGACGTTGCTGAGGCCGCCACCAGCCGCACGTGATGCTTTATCTGGATATCGCCAAGAGCCTCACGGGGACAAGTGGAGCAACCAGATCCCACAGCATGCGCTTCCCTCCATACCGCACTCCGAGGAAATAGCTACGTTAGCGGCTAAAAGCCGTGTCTCTCTTCCTCTTAGTGACGGTGCTGGGGCTGAGGTTCATGTTCTTGTGTCGGGTGGAGTAGACTCTGCAGTCTCTCTGGTTTTGATGCGTGAGTGGGGCTTCAGGCCTAAGCCTATTTTTCTAAAGGTTTGGGCCCCTGAAGCCGCTCAGATGAAGGAACAAATGCAGGGGAGGTATCATCAGGAAAAACTTGATGTTGCTGCTGCGTCTGCGACGGCGGCAGCGGCTTGCCCATGGCAAGAGGATGCAAAAGCAGCAGCTGCCGTAGCAGCAGCAGCGGGGCTTTCTCTGGAGGTTGTACCCATGCAGCAGCAGTACTGGGATAGAGTCATCTCCGGCTTTTTAGAAGGGGCCCGGTAGGCCTTCTGAAGTTGCGAACATCGTACATTAACCCTGGGCTAATGCACTAGAGGTTTGAGCCTTATCACAAGTAAAAGGTCATCTTGCACCTTGGGATTATGCGAGCTGCGATGCCTCACAGGGCGGGCCTCACACTCAATCCGGACTGGAGTTGCAACTCCTCAGTAAAATTTGGAGCTTTCGCAGAGACACTGGGCGCAGTTGACTACAGAATCGCCTCGGGACACTACGCAAGGATCTTAATTGACGAGGGTAGGACATTTTTGTATCGGCAGTGGTGGCAAGATGTCTCCATTTCGGTTTCTCTTTCAAGATATGCTGCCTCCTACAGTTGCTGCTACTTTAATGCGTAGCAGCGAAATCTTGAGCTGCTGCGTGTTGCATTGGTTTTGGAGCAAATGCGTGTGGCTTCGCAAAGGAACTGCTGTAATGCTTTGCTAATTGGATGGCATCGTCATTTTTGGGAACAGTTTTTGGTGCGGCTATTATATGCCCTTCCTATGCTGGTCAGGTTGTCCTCGCTTGTTGAGGGGAGTGGACCTGACGAAAGACCAATCCTACTTCCTCTCTGGTCTGTCTTCACTCCAGTTATCACGTTTGCTTTTCCCTGTGGGTGCTCTCCTGAAGACCCAGGTAAGCGTGAAACCCCCTACTGAGCATCCTTTGCAGGCACTGATAAGCACTGTGCTGGCCGCGTATGCAGCCACTGGTTTGGGGTGCATGTTTAATGCAGGTGCGGAAGATTGCGGTAAGCTGGAGTCTGCCATCATCTCAGAGGCCGGACAGCCAAGGCCTTTGCTTCTTGGGTCCTCTAGCTGTAAGTCAGTTCCTTATGCACCTGCTTGGAGAGGAGGAGGGACCAGTGATTCATTTTCCTACAGGCGTTTCTATTGGCCGGCACAAGGGCCTTTGGGGCTTCACTGTGGGACAGCAAAAGGGTGTTGTGCCTCTCCTCGATCCCCGCCTCTGCCGCCGTTGCCACGGAGCCTCTGGAGGTCCTCCAAAGCTTTCAGGTCCTTGGAGCGTCGTTGGAAAGCTCCCCGAAGCAAATGCGCTTTTTGTAGTAAGTAAGGAGGAAGAGGCGGCAGCAGAAGAACGCCTGCGAGCTTTGGCAACAGAACCTGGGAATTACTCGGAGCAGTTGGGAGCTCCCTTGTTGAAGGCAGCGGCAAATGGTGACAAGGCAGCAGCCTTGGCTCTGAAGCTCAGACAGCTTAGAACGTGCCTACGAGTGGACAACATTAGGTGGTTTAGCGGAAAGGCCCCAGCGGACTTCGCTGCTTCTGCAATGCTTCAACCGGGCTCCTTGCTAGAGGAAGGTCCTGCTTTGGCAGCGGTTGCAGCAAGTGCAGTGGCTGCTGCAAGGACAAACACTGCACTACCTATGGAAAGCCCTGCTGAAAGTTTTCTTACGGGATCCTCCAAGGGTGGAACAGGGCTTATAGTACAGGTGAGGCACAGTGCGGGCTTCCACGGTGTAGCGAAGCACAACTTCAAGGTCCTTTGCGTCTCACGGGGCCACTCAGGAGCTTCAGGGCCCATTGAAGAGGCGGAACTGCTGCTGGGGGAGCCAGATGTGGGCCTTGCCCCTGGGCAGGTTGCTGCATTCTATAGAGATGATGAATGTATAGGGTCAGGGACGATTTCCGCCCTTCAAGGCTCTTTTGCATTGAAGAACATCATTGACAAGTTGGGCTAGCTGCAGTGTATATGGAATAACTCTTTTCTGATTACTGTTTCCAATTCGAATTTGGATAGTGCATTTAAACGTGGGCCTCATGAGTAATAGAGGCTCGGAGTTACGAATGTAGGGCCCTACGCCTGTGGATACCAAGACATTCAAGACAAAGGCTAGTTCTTTGTGTTTCGCTTACACTTGTGCATCATGATATGCTTAGGTGAAGCTTTGAATAATGGCAATCTGAGCATCAGACTGCCCTACGAAGGCGTAAAAGGGAACCTCCTCAATCATTGCTTACCGAGAGACGCTCCGGGCCTCCTACTCTCGTCCCAATTCATGCATTCTATATGCGACTGCTAAGAAGCGTCACGCATTTACCCTCTATAGGAGAGCTGCATAAACTCGAAGTGTAGCTTAGTTCGCATATCGTAACGACTCACAGCTGTCTGGCAAAATTCGGGCAAAAACGCGACCACCAACGTCCATGCACAAATTGCGCATCTGTCCACCTTGTATTTAATCACCATTATTCTTGTATTCTTTGTCCCGTTGAGTGGGAATGCTGTTCACTTTCCCCTGCGACAAGGGTATCACATCGATGGCAAAAGAAGTTATCTTGCCTCCACCCACCCCCTTATTTCAGCTGCTTTGTGTAGCAGCAGCGCGGGGGAACCCTGCTTTCGGAGACACCCGCTCGACTCTCACATGCATGTAGGAATAGATGATTGCAAAGTGCTCTACTACTGTCGAGTAACTTGCATAGCGAGGTGCAGCTAAAGGAGAGATGAGAAGGAGGTGCTGGCTCGCGACGCATGCAGGCAGCTAACACGAAAGTTCGCAATAACAGGCTGTTCACACGAAACAAAGTTTGCCTCAATATGTCAAGCGGACGTTCGCGAACAGTGACCCAATCCGTGCCCTTGCAAATGATAGACGAATGAGGAAGACATGCTCTTCCGCTCAGAAGACGCTGAAGCTAAGGTCTGCAACCTAACCTGACCTCCAGTGGTATTTTCTAGAGTATTCATGCCACGCATTTGTTTAGTGTTCCCCAAGCAGGCCACAGTTATTGTCTACTAGTGGGGACGCATTTGCGTGTTCTGTAGGTAGATCTCCATACTAGTACGCCGCTCCCATGGACTACCACGCTTCTGCGAGAAGTCGGCTTTTTCGGACCTACTTCTAAGTCTCATCAGCATTGCACGACTAATCTGAGTAGGCGGAAACTGCAGAGAGCCGGATTTTAGTTGGAAGGCAGCGTTCAAACTATGTCATCTGCTACGCAAGTAATGCAGCCCACAGATGTTCAGGCGCAATAACCCGCAATAATCATTCTTTTAAATGTGAAACAAATACTCTTTATATACAGAAACAAAATTCAAACCACAAAGACAGAAGAAGATCCATTCATCTCTGGAACTCGATGTTCGTTGTCCCGTTGGACACCCACAACAACCCCACCAGCCCAGTTTAGCGAATTGAAGTGGCCCATCACACTTCGCCAGCTGCTATTCGCCTCACTTTTCCTAATTTGCGCTAGTCTGGAGTCTAATCTACATGCAAATGGAGGATTATAAAGCCGCCAGGTGGGAGGGTTGGTGAAGGAGTATTCGCTTGCACAACTCTCACCAACTCCAGGCTTTCTGTGGTGCCCCAGCTTATGCCTCTTTTGCCTCAAACATTATACTGCTGATGAGGAACGAACCAGTTACGACGTCAAATCTAAATTATGTAATGACGCTGTTAAGGTAGGCCCATTCGCGTCGTTGCTCTGTCTGTCCTCTGAGTCACAGGAGAGTGCCGTATGGCAGGCTGGGCGATTTCATAGGCAGAAGAATTCGCTTTATTGGTCGGATAAAAGAAGCTGAAGAGGATGCTCTCATACTTGAGGCTTCCGAAGGTACGTAAATAACAGGGGCTTCCGCGAAGCGCCACATAGGATGAGTCCCACTTGTCAATCTAGAATCGCCAACAACGTGATTGCTGTAGTCACTCTGCCTGCAGAAATTGGTTGCGCTTTTGCAGGTAAATGTGTGAAGTGCTTCCTCCGGGACTCCCCGCCGGCGTGCCGCTATGTCGAAGTTGTGGCGACTGTACAGGAGGACCTAACAATTAGGCAAGGAGAGCACGATCAAACCATTCCTCTTGGAGACAATATCGGTGTGCGACTTCCCTTTACTAAGTTCAATCAGTCTCCTGGTAGCTGGCACTTCTAGTTTTTGGAGCAGTGCATCCATCTATCCTGTCTACAGAAAATTAAAGTCTTTTTGGCCAGTTTAGCGCTTGAGTCAGGTTCTAGGGTCGAATGCTTGCTGCGTTTGTTTGTGGCTTTTGGCGCAGACATAGAGCTTGCTGATGCAGCGACAGCAGCGACTTTCCATCCTCAATTTAGCCACCTATTCGATTCAGAGTAACACTGCTAATGTATGGATTACATTGGTTGAAAGGGCCTGTCCTATATTACCAAGCTGCTAATTCTCAAGCAGCCCTGCAACGATAGCGTCTGATAAAACAATACCTGGCCTGCAGTGGGTCCCCTGCAAGCAGAATTTTACGTTTGGCAGTGGGGAATAACTACCAAACCTGTTGAACAATGGGTTTTGGTGTACTTTGCATTGTTTTTAGTTAACCGTTTCCGAAAGCCCTATGATCTTAAACGGTATGAATGGGATGTATGAGTGTACGGTTCCCCGGAGAAGCAGCGTATTATTTTGGGTTCACAGAAGCTCCCATTGCTGAAATGCGGGAACTGTGTATCGCAGAATTCGAATTGCCGCATTTTCTGGCATACCGTAGCCGGCCTACGCAAATACTCTAAAATTGTATAGCCTTAGCTCAGATTTCAATGTCCGTCTGCCGGAGTAGTTTCTCTTGGCTGTAAGTGGCCATTTTCCTTAGCAACTGCTGCGTCAGCGATTTGTGCAAAAGGGAAGGACCAAGAGTTGCACAGGGGCACAAAGAGACGTTCGTGCTGGCATGAGACGCTGTGCTTCCCGTTTTTCTTCCGAAAGTTGGGTGCTGCTACGGCAATACGCCGAGGCGAAAGGTGGCGGAAGACCTTGGGCTGCCGGATCGGTCTGCATATGGTGGAATTACATGTCAACAAGTGAAAATCGCAAAGCTGTCACTTCGTACTTGGAAAAGAACCAAGCCTGGCTGCGCACTGTACCTGAATTAGCGTCAGCCGAGACGTAAAAGGGAAATCTTAGTGGGACTCTTCAAACTGAGGGCATGCCAGGAGTAGTAGCAAGCCATTCCAACGCTACGCATTTCGGTTAGCACAGCTAGTGCATGCAAAAAAGTAGAGACGATGCATTTAAGTTATACAGCGTAGCAGCGCATTGATGTTTTGTGAGACGATGTGTGTACACATCTCGGGGTGGTTCTGCAACTATGGTCATGTGCCTTGTTTTCCCACTTTCGTTAGTAACTCGGACAAAAAAAGTTGTTGCTCGTGTATCGCATGTAAGCAAAAACAGAATTTCTTATTTATAGTGCGTATGAGGCGAGCCTTGAACACAAGACGTGCGCTACTGTTCCCCCTTCATCATTCTCCCCAGCCCCTCTTGCAGTTGAGTCCAACCCCTCTCGGCCTGTTTGTGGCTAAAAGTGCCTCTACACTTGACTTCTTTGCATTTTTCCAGGAGTGTATATGTAGCAAACCGCTGCTTGCTACATCTTCCTCCGTATGCCGACGTCCACTTTCGCTCGTTCCCCCCAACGCGCTTGCTCTACTGTGGCATGTTTTCGCGTGCCCCATATTGGTGACCTCACATAGGATCTTCCTCTTGATCACAAATAGATCTGTCGAGGCTTGTCCCCTGTGCGTTGCCCTTCTTCTTAGCTGCCTCAAACCGCTTTCTTTCTGTAGGCAACGCTACCAGCTCCGGCGACACAAGGGAAGAGAGCAACAAAAACTTCGCGACTGTATTAGGCTTATGCAGACCGTTTATATATCGAATTCCCTAGTGTGTATTTGTTGTTACATCTGTGATTGTAGCAGACCAGGGCTCTGCGCGATAGTTCTAGGAAAGAGGGCGCTGGCTCCCCCCACCATCGTCTGTGGTTCTCTTCAAACCGTGCAGCGGCGATCTCTCCGCTTACAGGTAATCCAGTTGGATATTTCTTTTGCTAGGTACATACCTGCGGTGAACGCGGTCAAGGTGGTGGCATGCTCGAGGAAATAATTGAATTCTGACCCGAAGTGCTGTTTACACATCTGCAGACTCGACGCTCTGCCCTCCAATGAGCGTAGAGGGAGGCCCAACACGTGCCTCCCCGTCTGTAGCTGCAACCAGCAGCCCCAGTGCGAGCCAAGAGAATGATCAGGCTCAGGCTAACTCAGCATCGGTTCCCCACGGTCTTCCCTCAATGAAGCAACAAGATATAACTGCGCCGGATTATGCAGCAGGCTACGTCAGGCGTGGAGGAGTTGGAGGATTCAAAAGGGGTTCTTTGAAAGGACGCGGGAGGAACAAGCTAGCTACGGGATTAGGTGCCGGGAGCGGCTTGAGTGGGGCAGCTACCAAATTTGTCTCCCCAGATGCCGTGCTTGATGCTGCACGTCGAGTTAAAGACTCTCTGCCCGATCTGTCTCCTGAGCTTTTGGCAAGCCTTAGGGCCAGGGGCCTCGAGCCGTGCACGTTAAAGGAGGTATTGGAAGAGCGGGGCCTTCAATGGGCAGCTACACAGGTTAGCTGGACAGCAAATGACCGCGCAGGGGCCTTATGCAGGATCGTTCCGGCCAATGCGCAGAGGTGCATGTAGTGTGTTTGTGACTTCGCACTCCACGCACTCGGGAAGCCCTGTGCACCTGGGCTCTCGCCGATTACCCGCCCTCTATTCCGTGGAGGACTCACGGTTTCTGCCGTATGTCTAGGTGCGGGATGAACGAGCTGAATCTGAGCACAAGCGGCTGCTGGAGGCCTTTCAGAGGCAATGCAAGGGCTGGGGAAACAACAGAGAGGGTTGGGTGCACAGAAAGTGGCACAGCGTCATAGTCTGCCCAGATTTCAAACGCGGGGGCCTCCAGGTGGGAGTCGCCTAACAGCTCTTGCCGTTGGGTTTTCGCTGCGGTGCCGTGTGTTCGTGGCTTCCGCTTCTCTGTGTTTGTCTTGGATCACTGTTAGGGTTTGCCTTCAGTACCAGATTCGCCAGACAGTAGCCTGACATGTGAGCATCACAGTGTCACTGTACACACATTATGCGTCCCGCGTTGCCATGCGTTGCAGAGGTTTACCGTTAGGTGGTTCGTACGTCCTCACTGCTGTTTGATTCCGTTTCAGGTGTCGCGGTCTTCTATGCGGGAAATGTGGAACAGCATTATGTCCGTGGTACATGGCTTTGTGAACCCTGACCTCGTAGTCTGCAGAGTTACTGACCCAACTCACCCTGTGCGTTTCGCCACTCCGCCAGGAGAGAGCTGTTTTACGGTTGTATACGCGGGGAAAGGGCCTATGAAGGCCTCTAAGGAGAGAAGAATACTTGGGGAGTACACAGGCCATGTCAGGGCGGGGAGTACCAACAAGCAAAGGTACGTAGAGGGTTTCTTACGTTGTACTATTGCGTACTTGTTCTCTTAGCGCTATGAAAATATATGAGTAGGCTAAAGCGTTTGTAGGAACAGATTTTCTTAGGTGTGGAGGGTCGCTTGCAAATGAATAGGTGCAGAAGCTTGGCAATTTATTCGTTAGATACGTGACGTTCATGATTCGAAAAAAAACTGATAAGAAAGTTGAGAAGTGCGTTTGTTACGATCTCGAGGGGAAGGATCATGGTGCTTATCGTATGTGCAGGTTCGAGTATGTTTTTGATTTATCTTTTTGCGCGTTGGCATGGCGCGCGGCTGAGGAGTTTGAAAAAGAAAGTGATTCTTCAGGAGAAGAAGGGCCTTCCACTGTATCCAAAGTACCAGCCCCTGCTTCCCAGGAGGCAAGCGTAGATGAGAACACAGAGCTCCACAAGAAGGCGAAGGAGGACGTCGTGAGTAATGAAGGCGTACGCAGAGTCCAAGTCACAGGTGAAGCGCACGCTTAGCTCTTATATCCTTCGAAGCATGCCTTTTTTACGTTGCCAGTGAACAGTGGGTCTGGTTATTGGTGCACAGTAGTGTGCTAGCTCTTTTCCCTTGACTGCAGGACAAAGGAGATCGGCTGTCACGAAACGGCTTGTTAACTTGTGTATTTTTTTTATTAGGGTCTTCGAATATCAAGCGAGTGGCGCTTCCTGTCCGCGGAGAGTTGGTGCTGGACTCGCACGATGCGTGCAACCAGATGTCTCTTGTTAATCACTATGGTGTGCCTTTCTGTGCAAGTTTCATTTGGCATACTGTTGTCCGGTCTTTTGTCTGGCTGCCAAGATAGAGTCGTTCCACCAGACCCCTGTGCACCAGCTAATAGCTTCTTATGATGGCATGCTTGGGAGTCTGCACTGGAAACTCCCGAATAGCTCTCCCCCAACACCACCTTGAAAGTTTGCTGCTCGACAAGGATGCACTACGCCCTCATTGAGTGACTTCGCGCTTCACACAAGCACAGGTGCAGGCTTGTGGCGAACTGTTGACATAGGTAGTTTACCAGCGATGCTTGAGTTGTGCCTCAATGCAGGCACCATTGGCCTACTAGGTGAGAAAATATGCCACTGCAACACGGAATGGCAGCAAGTCTTTGTGGATGGGTGGCCTCATATTGTCCTTACAACCATTCCAGGCGTGGCAATAGAACCAGGTACATGCTTTGAATTATCAACGTGCTATTTTGCGGTTTTAGTCCCTCCTCATTAGTATGTTGCCGTCTTGACCAGACCTGAAATCAAGTGTCTGACAGGGGCAGCCGCGCCACTCTTCTCCCCTATCATGTGGACTCACTGCCATCGTCGACAACTGCTCGCTAGTTTTCATGAATGTTGCTGCGCTACCGCAGGAGAAGAAGTCTTAGCTGATTTTGGCTATGACTGGTTTAATAGGGTGCAAGATGTGTCCCACAAAGCGATAGCCCGCGAGTTGCTTGACTACCGAATTGGTGTCAAGACAGGCGGCTGTCAGGTGCGTCCCATGCATTTGCTGCTGCATTAATGCTTGGATATGCTGCTAAAAGGCGGTTCAGTTTATTAATTTGCTCTTACTAATTTTTATACTGCTCGCACTGTCGAACACTTGCACAGACGTTGGCTCCGGCAAGGAATGCAGAGTGCTTGGTGAGGGACAACGACGCGTCTCTGCAGACTCGAGCCCGGATAGGAGAAGTGTGTCCTTATTGTCACTCGGACGAAATACCACTGGTACCAGGTTCTGTTGCAACGGTTTCAGTTGATTTAGCAGTCGACGGCTGCAAGTCAGCAGCTGGAAAGCACAATACCGAAAAGAAGCTAGAGCTGGCAAAAACGCAGGGGCCAAGGAAAGCCGGAGCAGCAGACATGGAGACTAATGATAAAGCTTCCATCTGGGGAGAGCAGGTCGTGCACTGTGACGGATGTGACAGACCCTGCCATCTTCGTTGCATCTTTGGGGCCCACGCTGCCGATCGCAGACAGCAAGAACAGCGGGAACAAGGGGAGCTTAATCACAACCAGAAGCAGGAGCAGCACGATGACCAAAAAAACGGTGAACAGGCGGAACAGCAATTCTCAGAAAAGCAACAGGAACAGCAGTCTCCAGAACAGCTGCAGGGACAGCAACCGCGAGAACAGCAGCAGAAACAGCGGCATCCAGACCATCGGCAGGAACAGAACTACCAAAAGGCACAGCAAAACCAGAAGATTGGTGAACTGAAGGGATTTCAGAGTAACTGCTGTGCGCACGTCGCATCAAGCGACGCGCCAACTAACGGCCGAGAGACATACTGGTCTGAGGCGAACTTCGGCGTTGTTACTGGTGGTGAGACTGTTGAAGACATCTACCGCTGGTTTGTTGAGGGCGATTACAAGTGGTTTTGTTGTGTGTGTCGACTCCAGTGGGAGAGAATGGCAGCAGCCATGAACTTCTCAGTAGACTGGCAAGCCCGGAGGGTGCTTAGGGAAGGGAACCCACTGCTTTTGCATCCGTCAAATGAGGTTATCACGAAGAGCGCCGTAACTTCGAAGATCGAAAGAGCAGGTTCGGGTCCACTTAATATTACGGAGGAGGTGGAGCACGCAAGCAGCGCAGTCAGCGACATATGCGGCAATAGACGCAGAGGCCCTGGCGCAAGGTGGTCTGATGGCACTGGCATTCCCAAGAGACGGAAAAGGACTGCAGAGGGACAAGTTGCGTGTGCCACGGGCTCAAAAGACACCGTCTGCGTGGGAACAGTGGAAGAAAACCACCAGGGAGGTGCCTTGCCCACAAAGACAGAGCAGCGTTCTCGACAGGAAACAGACGGATCTGTTTCTCAGGGCAGCAGAACGGATACTACCGGTTGTACTTTGGGGGCAGAAGCACAATTGGCAGCTTCAGTTGCTCCGTATAGTGCTTACCCTGATCGGTCTGCCTCCGAAGCATTCAAAAGGAGTGTCAGTAACACGCCTCTCAGCGGGCCTCAGCCAGAATATATTGCAGCAGCGTCAGACGAGGTTTCCGCAAGCCTTCCCATGGAGGGTAGCGTAGGCACTTTGCTCTGCACTGGCAGAAGTATTGAGGCTATCGAAAAGGATGGTAGGACATTGCCAGTTCACACGCTGGAGCCCACCGACGAAGGCTGTAGCGCGGATGGAGATCCATCATTAAGTGCAGAAGTCAGGGGGAATAGTGGCCACGGTAACACAAGTGGACCTGTGAGAGGAAGCGATAGTCTGATTGTCGAGCCAATGCGCGTGTACAAAAATAGCAGCGAAAAGAGCCAAACGAGCAAGATGCAGCCTTGCCCTGTCTCGTTAACACCCGATGAATTTTCAGGCGAAGAGCTGCTGGGCTGTCGGACTGAAATGCTTGTGGAGCCACGGACACTTTTGGGCGCACTGCAGCCGTGTGTGCGCTGCTACAAACTGTATGGCTCGAAGGCAAGCGTGGAAGTTTGTAGACTGACCAAACGACACTTGGCGTCCAACTGGGATCATCCGCATTTCGCTTCCCCTGCTCAGATACAGGATGCACTGCTAACGTGTTTCCAAGATGCCCTGCTAACTGTGCAGAGAGAGCATCGGGAAAAATTGCGTGGACTTCTAGACAGCATGAGCCCGCTACAGAGAGGAGAAAGCATGAACTCTTTCCTTGGAGACACTAGGCACCCAAGGATACATGAAAATGCAGCCCGCCGCAGCGCAGAAAACACACTGAAACCGGAAATTCGTACCACTGAGGTAGTAACGAAAGGGGCTATTCCTCTTATTAGTGTTACCTTGGGAAAGACAAGGGTCGACTACAAGTTCCCATGTCCAAAGACGAAGAAACCAAAATGGTTTTATGGCTTAGTGAGTAATTACCAAGCGGTGTCAACGACGGTCCAGGACGTTGAACCACATCTAGAGGGGAAGTCGACGCGGATAGATGGGCCGGGGAAAGGTGGAACTGGCAGCAAGGAATTCGAGAAGGAGAGGACAGTCACATACTTTACAAATCAGTTCCGTATCGACTATGACGACGGAGATTTCCAAACTGTCCCACCTCATGAGCTAATTGAAATGCTGATTGAGACGGGACCTGGTAGCAAGCTAGACGGACGGAAAGCCATTACCACGACTCCTTTAACGAAAATGCTTTCCCCAGAATTGAAGCGAGCAAACCGCCAGGTCAATCAGCTCGTCCGTGAAACCAACAAGAAGGGCTGCACGGTTAACTCGGACTTGGACACGGATGACGAATAATATCCTTGCCTTGGTTTGTTACATGGTTTTTGCGCATTATTTCTGTGGAGAGTGTAAAAACCAAACATGAGTACCTAGAGAGTGCTTGAGAAGGGGACTTGCTGCTGCGTGTAGGCGGCGTCGCGATTTCAAGCTCTCGCGTGTTGTGTTTCTTCTCTCTCCAAGAATGGCGCGAATCATAGCCTTGCGTTTTATGTGACGTTGTTTTGTTTTTGGGCTTGCGAAGAAAGGGTGTAGCTTAACTCTTGGAGGCCATGTTTGTAACATGAAAAGTTGCCATCTAGGCAGAGGGAGGGACTATGCTACGTCTAACAAATATGTTTCCAAGCCGATGGCCCTTGGATATTTGCCGCCGGTATTGTTTTGAGTTTTTATTAGCATCTGCTTGTTGCCATTGGCAGGGCGGCAGAAAATCCGTTTCCACTTTTTGTGACAGCAAGCGTCAGCTCCTTATTGAAGCACGCTGTGGAGCATCGCTGCCGTCAGCGCGCAACCGGGAAGTATTGCGCAAGTTGACTGTCAGTTGACGCATATGAAAGGCGTGACATATTATTTCAGTTTTGTTTTGTGCCGACTGCAGGGGACGGTTAGAAACGGTTACTGAGCATCCTATGAGTACAGAAGAGAGCACGAGGCATCAGCTCTAGGTGGATGGCTGTGCACGTTATCACTGTCATGTCTCTTTCTCCTTTGTAAGCCTCTATAAAGGACCAGGTGGTTCACGGTCAAGGTTTTCGGTGGCGCAAACTGCACTACGCAAATATGTTGAAGAGGCATTCTGCTGATGACCGGTTAGCTCATGTCTCGATAGCAGCTTGCAGAACAGGTGCATCACAGTAGAGGAGACAGAACAGTCGGAGACGATAGCATCCCGACTTTGGTAAGCGTGGATTGTGCGGTCAAACAGTTGTACACTGGAAGGCATATCATGGTCGTCGCACTTAACAAAGCGTCTGACGATGCTAACTGTTGATTCCTTGCCTCAGTTGACCAAAGTGGGCTAGCTGCTTGAACGGCAGTGGCTCTGGTGTATAAGGTCCTGGATTGAACCACCGGCTTGAGCAGCAAAGGTGCCTTCGAGCCATATATGAAATGAGGATGCTCCTGGCTATGAGTTGATTATAGCGTATTTGGTGCAATATGCACTGAGGAAGGCACATAACATGCATCGTGAATAGCGAGCGAGCGAACCAGAAACAATCAAGGATGATATGACCATTCAACAACTGCATAAGGTTCGCCCGTGGATGCTTAAATGCTATAAGAATGCATTATGGATGATATTTCAATATAATATGTAAGCGCAGTATGCACGTGCTTCGCAGAGTTGCTGCAGATATCACACCTGACTCCTTGATCCATGGCCCGTTTGGTCCATTGGGCTCCAAGTGTCGTCTGCGCACTCAGCATTTCAGCTTCCAGCTTCTGTCTTATATTACGTATATGATGCAAGAACATTTGACAAGATAAAAATGCTGAAGCTCTTGAATGATTCATATTGAACTTACCCAATCGACAAGTATTGTGCTAGCTTGAGACTGCACAGCTCGGCGCTGGGGGCTTTGGCGCCTCGACAGGTCTGCTCCTGGTACCGTCTGATAAGAAGAAGACAAGCGATAACTCGGACGAAAGTGAAGTAACCTAACGTGTACTTTTGAACTGATTCTTCTCCTGTAGTCCCCTCCCTCTCTCCTTCGTAGCCTCTTGGTGAGGCAAAAGGGACGGGCCTGGAGTTTGACACCAGAACATGGATTTGAAAATGGCACCGCTTTCCCTACTTTTCTGCTTAGTCTCTTTAGTCCTGCTGTATAAGGCAGAAGGAGGCAGGTGGAACAATCAGATCAGGTCTCCTCTTTCCCCGGAACATCTGTCGGCTTTGGGGGCTAAGGAAGCTGCCCAGCGAGCGAGCGACAGCCACGCAAAACTCAGAGGAGATACCCTCTCTGCTCACTCTTTGGTTCAGCAATTGGTGGAAAAAACGAATCGGGCTTCTCCCGCCACCGGAAGTATCCCTCAGTTGGGAGCTCTTCCGGAATCAGAGTGGGATTACAAAGAGCATGGGGCTGACTGGACACAGGGAAAATGCAAGACTGGAACACGCCAATCTCCTGTAGACCTTCATATTGAAGGTCTTGAAGAGCCAGCTAAAAAGAACATGACGGAGTTGTACGTAGGTGCCTTCTCTGGTGAACAAACATCCTCTTGGTCGAATAAGTTGTGGAAGAAGGGGGATTTCTTCTATACCTATCCTAACCAATTGAATAGTGTCCTTTTGTATAGAACGGATAAGGTATTCCAAATCCGTTCTGCCGGTGAGGGTCTCGTTCCTCTTGGTGCTATGTTTGGGTCTGACACGACTGAAATGTTCGTTGCACATCAGATCCTTTTTCACTCTCCTAGTGAGCATACTTTTCAGGGGGAAGCTAACAGGAGGGAAATTGAGATGCAAATATGGCACTACTCAAACGACTTGTTGTCAATGGAGGCGAGCAAGAGTGTAAATCTGACAACACTTCCATATTTGGCTTTATTCGCTCAAAGCAGCATCAATCTTCCCGATGTAGAACGAGCAATGGCTGAAAACAGCAAAAGCGGAAAAGATCCTTTGCTTCCCTCCTCCCACTGGAGGGTTATCTCCCTTACGTTCATGAGCGAAGAGCTGGATCAGGCCAGTCTGGAAGAACTGAGGGGACTTCCATCCGAAAGGCTGTTGAGAACACTACTAATGGCTGATGGGCTAAGCAAAGAAACCCATGGTGAGTGATGATATAGAGATCAAATAAGTGGATGCAGATGCTCATTCTGCTTTTTTCCATGAAGGACAGTGTAACTGTGTCCTCCACTTTGAGCGTGCCCTTTTTGAAACCCTTACCGTATGACTTGCCTGCGAGAAGCTTTCGAGGCTTGTACCTGCGGCCTTTTGGGTCTTTAATCGTCTAAGAAGCTGCATCGCTTAATCCTTTCCACATGTATACTAATATGTTTTGCGTTCTCAGGAGGTTCTGAGGTTCTTGAGCTGACTCACCCTTTGAATCTGCAGTCGCTGATGATGATGCTGCAGTTGACAAATCAAGAATTTTTTGCTTACGACGGTAGCCAGACTATGCCTGGTTGTGAAGAGAACGTCAGATGGTATGTCGCTCGCCAGCCTCTCCCCGTCGCAACAGACACCATGCTGAGGTTCTACAAAATGCTAAATCCCAAAAGCCTCAAGTCAGTGAAGGAGAAGGATGGAAACTTCCGGCAGCTGCAGAATGTGGAAGGCAATATGCACAATGACGGTAACGTTTTCCTCGTGCAGGGGTTCCCTCTACAAGTGCTGATTGCGGATAGTCTGGGATTTACAAATATGTCAGACCAGGCAGAGGTTTCCGCTAGCTCGTTCCAGGGGTGGCTTCAAGAAAGCAAAGCAGCTCCAAAGCACATGTGGCTTGCCTTCTGGACAATCGCTGCGTCATTGTCTATAATTGCACTGTTGTGAACACACCGAAGGGTCTACCTACTGCTATGCCAGTATAAGTACCTTTCGAGGATTGTATTTAAATATCTCTTTAAGGAAAGCCGCCAAGATCCAACACCATCTGAGCGCTGCGCTGCTTTGTGGCCCAGATAATTTCTGGTGCCGAACAAATAATGCGTTTTGAGGCCCATAGTTCTGTGTATATAGTCGAATCCCCACGGATTTATTTCTGGAGTGACAGATGCCCATCGGATTGGGCCTTTCATTGTTTACACTCCACTCAACAAGCTGCTTCAAACCACGCTGTTCACCTTAATGGTGTGGCACACCCCGCAGCCTGCTGATGTAGGTCAGTGACCATTAAGTTTAACCTAAACCTGTACGGCTTGGAGATTCTTTCAGAAAATGCATGTTGAGGGACAGCGTATCAGATGCTTCACGTGCATGCAGCTTGGCGCTTAAACGATAGCTAATTAGAGCAAACAGTGACCTGACATACTGCAGCATATGTAGATGCGACCCGAAAAAGAAAAGCGAAGAATAGAGCGTAACACTAGAAGTTTTCAGGGAGGGTGTCTCCTATGCCCAGATATTTGCTTGATCCTTGACAGTCGCTCACTTTCTCTGGAACTATGGGGCACATGCTTCGGTGCCAGCCTTAACACATCTTCACAAACTCTACTACTTCACCACCACAATATCGTTTGCACCGTAGTGAAGCCTCATCTGTGCTTTGACTCACCAAAAGGACGCTGTTGCTCGTCATATAAATGGCTGCACTCGTTCTATTTCTACGTGCGTTCGCTGCTGAGAAAAGAAAAGCTGGTGTCATGAAAACGTTCACAAGCTCTACCGATGCACATCTCCTCCGTCCAGGGGAACCAAGCTCTAAGAAATGTAGCAAGCAACTGCATCAAGCATCTGCTGAAAACAGCCGTCACCGCACATTAGAACGTTGTCGTCCTCAGCATTGATACGCAATACACTGCTCAAGGTTAGGCGCGGCTTGTCGTTCTCAGTCAAGTAGTTCGGCTGCGAAGGAACTAGTGCTACTAGCCAACATTGCTTCTTCCAGAGGCCCGCTAGAAGTGACTTTAGCCATTTGCATTATCCAAAGGGAGAAAATGGAAAAGGATGAAAACAAACCTTCGTCTAATGCTTATGCCCCAATGTTTTCACTCGAAATCTCAGGACACCGCAAATGCTGTCGACTTTAAGACCACTGTCCTGAATATTGGGGAGCAACACACAGGGTGGCTCAGACTGGGCCGTCTTAATAGCGAGCCCAGAGAAACCCAATGGGCTATTACAAGCCCACGCAAAACATAGTTACAGCTAGCTGGCTAGGCTAGCTCCCTAGAGCTCTGTGCAAGGGGAAGAGATAGAGTGCAGAGGTATTTGTGTCCTGCACCAAGACACAGTGCCTCTCCAGTTGCGTTTCGCCTCTCAGCTACGAAGCCACATCGAACACCAGACGCAACGTGGCAACTGTTAAGCGCATGACGTACTGCATAAACGCGAAAAGAGGTCGCACGCAGAGCAGCAGCGTAGCCCGAGGCGCAGGCTATACTGACTACCATCCAAGCGGAACCGATAAGCAACAAAGCCATCAGATGCTGGATGATGCTACCTATCTAGCCATTTGTTGCTGCCGCTGGTTTCCCTGCTGCCTCATGGTGCTGCTTTGTTTGCATTGCAGTACGAATCCATGCGGCATCACTCGTCCCTGCCTCCTCGGCAGCTTACGGTAGTCATTGTATACTACACTGCAAAATGCCTTGCGACTAGGTCCCTCCTCCTTCAGACATCCGTTGCCTGATTCTTCAGTTCAACTTCCTTCGACCGCTCCTGCTTAGCTTTGGCTTTTTGCACCTTTTTCTCCTCTGCGCGACGCCTCCTCTCTTCAGCTTCTTGCTTTGCCATGTCCCGAGCTGCCTGTGGCCAGAAAGGGTGCGGTTCTGTCCGTTTTTTACACCAAAGTAGTAGCAGCACCAGAAAGTTGACGCCACACAGCACCAACATAATCAAACAGGGGTAGTAGTAAACAGAATGGAAAACATCTACCACGAGTTTCTGCATCGGGATTTTCAGCAAAGACAAAAATCCAGCTATCAAGTGGATAGTCCCCACAATTTTCCCGAAGTGAGACGAAGAGAACGTGTCCGACACGAAGCAATAGCTCTGCGAGCTGTAGAATGAGACGTAGCAAATGTATAGAATAGCAGAAAAGTATGCCGTGGGAAGTGCTGGAATCATGCTGAATCCATAGGCCAGTGTAATGCATGTGTTCAAGAAGAACAAGATTGGCATAATGCCAACCATATCCACGACCTTGCCTATCACCTGGAAACAAAAACGGCGCACAGACCAAAAAATTCTTAAACGCAAGCAATTTCACTGAGGAACTGCAGGAGCTCTGCGCACTATGTCAAGAAAGCAATCACCCTGTGCAGCATTCTAGACAAGTGTGGCGTTCAGAATGCACTTACAATGCACGGGAATAAGGAGAAAGGCAGCGCAGCTCCCATGAAATCGTTGACCTCCTTGCCCAGTAAATTTTCTGCTGCTGTCGTGAAGAATGCGTACATGATAGCCTTTATAATGGAGTAAACAACGATACATATGGCGTACGGCGATGTGAACTGCCTGATAAAGGATGCCGGCTTCTCCTCCCTTCCACCAGCTAGCTGATCCAGTGTCTCTGCGTTCCCTGCTCCTCCTGTTGCCACGCTCATTCTTGTCGCCTGGTATATCGCAGGCACCTCCGCCGCTTGATCGGCATCTGAGAATCCATTCTTTCTCTGCTTCTCTTCGTCCCGCTTTTTCTCTTCGTCGGCCCCAACTCCTTCGGACAGTGCCTTTTTGCAAGGTCCTGTTGAAGGCACCGGCCTCGGGACATCCAGGTAGCACTTAGCTTTACGTCCTGGCTCCGACGCCGTACCACCAGAGTATCCGTCATGCGCATGTAGGGGCCACTGACCTTCATGAAAGCTGCTGAAACTATCGCGCCACGCGTGGGCTTCTATAGAGGCGAAAGAATCGTTTACTCTTTGAATAGGGTGATGGTATGCCCCCCCCCTTTCCATTTCCGTGAATTCGTTCCACGGTTTGAAATGCTTGTACGGAACCAAAATCAGCGCCAATATGAAACACAAGCCTGCAGCAGAAAAGCATGCATGATGCGCTCTAGACACAATGTACACAATGTTCTAAGGGCAGAAGCGAAACCAAACATCAGCGAGCCGCCACGTTGCACTGTCTACACAGGGAGCAGTAAATCACGTTGTGGCGATGAGATCCATGACAAAGGTCTGCAAAAAGTCCCAGCCTTGTGATGCGTCGTCAATTTATACACGGCCATATGCCACAGTGTCTTCTGCACGTGAATAATGAAATGGAAGCTAGCAAATAAGCAATGCAATGAAAACCCTGATTTGGAGACGAGATAAACTGTTCAGCCCGACTGTCTTCTTTGCCTCACCAGGTCCAATGACAGCATAGCCAAGGCTAACTTCCCTCAGGCCAATACCCGGATTGGCGGCCTCGATCTTGTCTAGGATAGTCGGCACCGCGAAGCTGGCGCTCTTGGACGCTCCAAGAATTGCTACTATCAGCCTACAAAAGTAATGAAAACACCTCACAAAATTGTAATGACATCCTACGGCCTAGAGCGAATCTGATCAGCCTACAAAAGTAATGAAAACACCTCACAAAATTGTAATGACATCCTACGGCCTAGAGCGAATCTGAACTAGCCATGCGGCGCAAACCCCTACAACCGCAGTGTCCAAGCTTACCCTTCGTGTCCAGGGAAGAGGTTGGCTGAAGATAGAAGAGGCAAATACCCTATGTCTGATCCTATTCCCATGAATATAAACGCCGCAATGTATGTTTGTGCAGATTCTGACCCGAAGGCAAGCAGTACCCATGCTAGGGCGTTCATGAGCTGTCCTATTGCAGCTGTGATGCGCGGTCCTAGATAGTCCAGCAGCAAGCCGGCAGCAAGTGAGAATGAAAAAGCGAACGCCAGGCATGTAACAAATATGTTTCCGACTGCTGAATTCTGGGCCTCACATATGTACCGCTTCCCCCCATGGATTTCCTCCCTCATATCCGGATTCCCTTCCTGCAAGTACGTCGTGCACAGCCACGAGTACGCATTCGACCTGAAGAGCAGATTTGAAAGATTCGGCCACGCGAAGTACACGCGAGCCGTTAAAAAAGCGTAAATAACATAAGTCACTAAAAGAAAATAACGCCCAACTCCACATGGCTTGTGCTGCGTTTTCGCAGCCGTGACGGCAGGGGTGTTCTCCACATGATCCATAGCCCCTGTTATTAGTCTGCGACACAGAGTCAAGAAACCATTCTTCGCGTGCTTCTCATCAGATGGAGATGACTTGCTGCAGCCTCCATTTGTTCGGCTTGGCAGCTTGTTCACCGGGGCTGGCATTTGCGCGAAGTGATAGGGCTACTTCGCTTCCGCCGATTGATAGTTGGAAAAAGAAGTGCTGAAGATCTCGAAACATAACACAAGAGCCAGAATATATAGCCGACCACAACCAAAGACGACGCACGCCAAAAAAATCGCACGACAATGGAACAAAAGAGTGAAGGCGCTGCAATTTAGAGCAAGTATGACTCTTTTGAAGCGTTTGAAGGTCTGTGCCTTCCCAGGCTTGAAAACTAAGGAAAAAGCAAGTTTCAATCTAGAATTTTGGAGCTAAAACCGTAAATTTTGCTCTAGGCGGGAAAACAGCCACGGAGAGGCCACCGCAGCGTGCTCGTTGGTGGCGCTGCACCGAATGCGGCCAATTCAAGGAGGTCGCTTTTGGCTGTGTGATGAGCCACGATACCGAAACTTCTAAGTAAAATTCAATCTAATCGTAAGCAGTTCGCTCGAAAGAAATGTATCCGTCATTGTTTGCCAGAATTGTGAAACCAGCAGGCCTTCGGTGGGGCTTTCTAGCGTGGAAGGCATGCCTAAACTTTCGTCAACCGTGACCCCAGAAAGTCCGACATTCATAAAAGTTGCGATTGTTAAAGAAACCCACGAAACAACAATGTTTCAAGGTTAGCTACGCTGAGAGGGAATGCAAGCGCACCGTTGCCTCTCTCCTGTCTCGCTTGCCCCCCTACTTCCCCACATTAGCTGGTGCTGCGTGTCTGGGTTGCCAATAGCTTAACAGCTTCACTTCGTCGCTGGTTCTTAGCTGGAGCTAAATTGTGTTCTACGTCAACTCCTTAGCACAGGACCTGACATGTACGGCGCTGTGGGTAGAACAGTAGCTAGTTCATTGCGGCTTCAGCAGTCAAGTATCAATTCAGGAGTCAACGAGCGAAAGAAAATGAAGAATATAGCAAAAATGGCTTGATTATAGGATATTTACGCTGTATTAACAACGCAGAGATTGCGTGAGGCACATGATTCTAGATCTAGTTGACAGCACGACGACATTCAGTGATGGCTGCTGAGAGGTCAAAGCTAAGTAGTGTCATGGATGCTTGTTGAGCCAAATTTGTTCTCCCAGAAATGCGCCGAGCTTAAGAGGGAAAGGCGTCATAATGGAAGCTTGTTCTGATCGTGTCTCTGCTGAGAAGTTGTGTAGCCTCCTAATTCATTTTGCTACAGCACTTTTGCAGATTTTGAGTGCATGGAGCATGAGCATCCATTTGCCCCGTCCAGTCGAATTCGGTCGCCACTCAAAACCCTGGGACGCTAAGAACCCCTATTTTTCTTGCGGCAGGTAGTTAGACTTCGGTTTCTTCTATAGCGTTGTGCTATCTGTGTCTAGGAATCAGTCCGCTGATTACTTGCACGCCAACGCTAATTGGGGAAAATAGAGCCGCCGTACCTTCTGCATGTTGCCCTCACCGCCAGAGTAAGGCTTTAGTAGTCAAATTCCTTGGTCCCCTATTCGACGTCGGTCCCGATATTGTGTAGGGAACACCAATAATCCAAGGGGCAAGCTCGTACCCTTTCATAGATGCCCGTGCCGTAGTTCATCAATTCTCCACCCAATGGTATCTGAAGGTTGCAATCAACGGTCTAAACGCTTCTGGTCGCAGACCGCTGACAGTAAAGTTGCGCCCACTGTCTAGTACAACGTGCGGGAAAGCAGCTAGCCCCCACCGCTCCGTGGTTGTCCTCCACTGCAGCCTATATTCGTTATCGCACCTGGAGCCAATAGAGAGTTTCGTTCAGTCGAGAAAGCAGCAAATGCTTTCATACCGCCGCTGCGCCTAGACGGGCATGTGCCGGGCGAGGCGGTTCCGATGCTTGTGTACCACAAGTATCGGGGCTCACCTTGTGCGCCTAGATACGTACTATTCGCATCGCAAGCATTAACCTGGATACCCAGTTAGCCATTCGCGACTGGCCTTCTACTTGCTTCCTGTGGCGGGCTAGCCCGAACAAGCTTCCAATTTCAATTGTCACGCCCCAGCAACTGATTAATGGGGAACGAACGAAGTGAGCATGCAAAAGCAAGGCCACCGTGTCGTTTACTGCAAAACAGCGCAGTGATCGGGCTTGATGAGTTGCCGGTTGTTTACAAAAGTGCTGAGCGCTAAATAGTGAACCAACGGCTGTGTGTGGTGCAAGTGTGCAGTTGAAGGAACAAGGTACTGAAAAGGTGGAGAGCCTTAGTAAGAAGTGTAGCGTGAGTAGGAGCCAATATCTGCGGAAGGTGATGCAGGAAGATGGTGACAAGGGTAAGGGCCACTGTGTGTACCTGGTGGTGATTACTGCATGGCCTAGCCTCAACGGAACTTAATGAGTGTCGCAACTTGTGAAGAGCAAAGACTACACAAAGAATGCCGTGTCGGCACACCAAATAATTTTTCTGAATGAGTCTTACGATTTGGCGAAGGAAACCAGTCAGTCTTTGCTCGTGCTGAAGTGCCGCAAACGTCGCGCAGCCGGATGTGTCGGCATAAAACTTGGAAGCTTTCACAGTTTGGGGAACCTCTAGTGTAGTGTAGTCTTTTAGGCCCGCCCTAGCATCTCAAATGAAGTAAACATGAATTTTCGCTCAATAAAATGGCCTAACTTTCCTCGTGAGGAGAACGAGAGAGAAATAATTACAGGTGGACGGCGCCCCAACGCACATGTTGCAATAGATCGTCCTGTGAAGCTGCCAAGGTGATCAAACAATGATGGCTTGTTCTGTCTGTGAGATCCTGTTCAGAAGTTTTGCAGTTGCTCTTTGGTAGATGAAATTGATGTTCATGAAAGATGGTAAGAACTTGTGCTTCCACCGTGCGTAGCAAACTCAGAGCCCTCCATATGCAGTATACAGGTATCCAGCAACACCGTGAGCTACGCAGAGTTAACGAATATTATGTTCGCCCTGATGTTTGTCGGAATGGTAGCTTGGGCGCCCTTAAGGCCAGGAAGCATTGTTCTAAACTCAAGTAGACCCATGATTAGGCGGGACGTCGTCTTAACCATTATTGCTTGGCCACGGAGTTTCGATGAAAGATTGCCCGTAACCACGCTGCGCATCTTGTTTCAACTCCACCAGAATACCTCTAGTATAGATTGGCCACGGCTCTTGCAGAATTTAGGGGAGATTGTAAGGGTATTTAATAGTAATATTTGGCCACCATGCTCCTATTCAGCAAGCTGAACTTTATTATACTTCTTCATGATAACAGTCGAGGCGGCTACAGAGGCCTACCCACCCACTTCCATAAAATTTAGGTAGCTTCTAACCATAATAGTGATTTTATCGGCAGCTTTAGGATGCAGAGAGAGTTTCATTGGGCGATCTAGGCGCTTCAGGCACAAAAAAATGGTGAATATCCTAGGGGGAGCTCCGGTGGTATTCTGGCGGGCGGTGCGTCGCAAAACAAAGCTCGCTGTCCAAATACTGTGCTGAATACCTCTGTAAGCGCAACGTGTTTCCTCTGTGTCTGCAGACGTCCTAGTGAGCGGAGCTCAGCCTGGCTTCTAAGTCCGTCAATATTTCTTCTTGGTCAGACAGCTCCACAGCCAACATTATTCACTAAAGACACCGTCAAAACGCCCCAAACAACATCGTTTTTAAGGTAATTTACAAAGAGACGCATCTCTTTTTGATCCAGTATTTCGCTCAACCTTGTTGCACACTGAAGCTTCCCCTCTCTTTGCCACCTCTAGTCCCTAGGCCTAATTGCAGAGCACACTGTACCTGACTGCCAGAAGACTAAGCTCCTTTGCATGGTAATTACTTCCACTGATTGCATCAATCCACGTATAATGGAGTTTATAACCTTAAATGCCACTATTGGGCTGCATTGTAGTGCTGTACACTGCAGACACTCATTGGAGAGAGTGCATTTGAGATTGGCGTCACCGCAGGAAGAATCCTCTTCATCTTTTGTGTACATCTCATCTGTTAATTTCCACCCTTCTCAACATCCGTAACAAAGTGAGACGATATAGCCTCCTAAATGTTAATATCGTTCTCTGCTTTCTATGAAGCCCTACTTTCTTCCTGTAACTAGACGTTAGGTAGCTCTCATGCTAGAAAGAGCAAGCAGACAGCATTTTCGAACAAACATTTGGGATAAACGGCCATGCGCCAAATATTACTGAATAGAGCAAATTGTTGGTTGCTTCTTTAGTGTAAGTCTTTTGTTCTTTTTGTGATGCAAAATTTCCAAAATGTGCTAGAAAGAGCACCTTGCATGCGTATGTTTGAGAATTCTCCGCAAGCGGTCGTCAATGAGCCTACTGCTGTATATCGACGTTCAAATTGAAAAAAACAAGAAGAGAATCAGGCATCTTCGAACAGGCATGCGGTGCATTAAAACAATTCAAATTCATTTTTTACTTAGACACAAAACCACCATTTCTGTTGCTTGAACGTAGTGTTTTGCCGCCTTGCTCCGAAGATGGATGCGAAAGATGACAAAACTTGGTCGTTGACCCAGGATGGTTTCGTGTGGATTGTTAAGCTATGATGTTTGACGAAGTTCTCCTTAAGGGCATTTCATTTATCGGAATGCCTGAGAGCAAAAGCACAACTGCGCAGGTCACACATACTGATTAAGCATAATAATGACAACATACTTACTAGAAAAGCGAGTTTCGCATAAATTGGTAAATTAACAAGGAAAAGGACAGAAGACGGACATGGCTGCTGCTCTAAACTGTTGCAACGTTGCAGAGGCCCTCACTTTCTGTTCTGCTTCTTGATATTACGGAAGAATACTCCGGGGAGTGGTGCGAAGCATTCATGCTATCGTGGCGCTCATCGCGCATGGGATTGCAGTGCACTTGGATAAGCTGAAAAAAATTGAGAGGGCACACGTGTAAAGACCGAGACATTAAAACTTTCATTTTCGATTCTTTCCTTAGTGTCACAGAAACAAACTGGTTTGAAAGGTCGGAAGTGCCTTGCTTCATCATCTCGACTCTTTGTAATATGTTACATTCTTAGTTTACGGTTACAAGTAAATTTTGTGGTAAACAAAAATTGCACAACTAAAAGGCGGCTCGTACATTTATTATTGTAGGCTGGCTCATTACTACCTTGGCTGCAATAATCTCACCGTTGTATCTGAATTTTTGGCCGGTGACGCTGTGGAGCCACAATAAAATACACTTGTTGGAGATGACTCGGTCTGCTCCGGAATTTTCCCCAGTAATTCGAGAATGGATTTCCCGGACTCATTGATAAGAGGCGTCCTGGTAAAAAAAGCGTCAGTAGCATCTTTCTGCTCCTCCGATACAAAGTTTCGCGACCCTGCTGGGCCGTGACGTTTACCCAAAGCAATATGAGCACGGTGAGACAAATTTGCCTCAGGATCATTGGTCCAGGGGAGTGCTTGAACATCTTCCTGGGTTTCTGCTGATCTCCATTCGCCTATAGACCCGATCATACCTCTGCTCATGGCGAACTCGGCATTGAACATCAGGTCTTCTGGGTGGTGACCATCAGAAGAACAAAAAACACTTGCCGCTGAGCCTTCATGGAGCCCTTCACCGCTTAGCGCAAACTGTGCTGCGTTGTAGCTTTCAGATTGTGGTGAAAAACAGCTATGCACTGCAGCTGGCGGTTCAGAATGCTGCGAGATAGCAGGAAAAGAATCAATAAGAGATGAAGAGGCCCTGAAATTCGTATCTTCCAGCCAAAGAGAGCGGGACAAGGAAGAAGCCAACAGAGAAGTTGCCGCATTCATTTTTTCTGGATCCTCTTCATGAGCCACTGTGCTGGCTGCGGGAACATCGGCAAAACCATGTGCAGAGCTTCCCGTTTGTGCAGGTTGCACGTGACCGACATCGTCCTCTGACAGAACTGACATCGCTACCTGAACCGCTATTAAAGACGGATCAAGCGAAATTTCCTCTGAATGCTGCGTATCAGAATTTGCTCGAATTCTCTCTGTTGACATAGCTCGCGATGCCTGACGCCCGCAAAGCACATCTTGTAGCATTGCCTGGTAGAGAAGCGCATGGCGAATATTCTCTTTCCCCATCCACAGGTGAGTCGTTTCTAGCGTTTTGCTTGCTTGATGCAGCCAAATGCCCGAGTTATGATACGACCCCATAGTAATGAGCCAGCTGCATGCAAGAGATTCTTCTTTTGTGTGGCCAGTCTCAGAAAGACAGTCAACACTGGTCTGAAGATGCTGCTGCTCCTTCTGATGCTGGAAGCGTTCGTCAGTACTAGCGGGACCGTGAAATGCCTGTCCGTATACCTGAAGATCGAAACCAGCCAGAATGTGCAACAGTGAACAAAAGAACTGACGTGTCTCCAGAAGTGATTATTTTCCAACTTTACGTATGAGCGCGATCTAAGAATCTGGTGCTGGTACCAAAACACCTAAAGGTAAGCCTTGTGAAATATCTTACGACTTGGGGGCTGTCAGATGTGCAGCTCGTGATGGCGTGAGGAACAACAAATCGCTGAACTTCTGCATAGGGATAATACGGCCCGAAAAATTCCTCTTCTTTTCGCGGCATGGAACCATCTATTGTGGGAAAAAATCCATCATATTCATAAAGGTTGCTGGTGTAATCTTCTTCATTCATTCCAGCTGGGCTGTTTGGCTGCGAGTCGCCGAATTTAACATCAACACCCAAGCGGGGAGTGCCCGTGCTTTGTGGAAATAGAGGACCACCAACGCCGTGAACGATTGTGGGGGAGCCTTCTCTGCTGTGGTTTGCAAGCTGAGGTGTCCCAGTGCCTCGTAAAGTATGCATCGCCTGCGCATTTCGCCATGAGTTCTCCCCTCTGTTTCCTCTTGCCCAGGAAGCACCAGGGTTTCTCATTGGTTGAGCGCTGTGAACAACTCTTGAAGGGTTGCCTCTCACATGGCCTCTATGCAGAGGCGTTCCTCGCAAGACCTGGTGGTCTTGGTAATTTTGTGGGGTTTCGTCTGTGTCACTAGCGAACAGCCAGGGAATTTCGACTCCTCCCAGAGTCTGTGTTGTTTGAGGAACATGTGGATAGTCGCAACTGCTGGCAATCAGCCGCGGTGTGCCTGTGCCTTGCAGTCCCTCAGGCAGATGGACTGGCTTTTGAGAGTCTTCTTGAGTGTGGAGAGTCATGCGCGGGGTGCCCGTACTTCTCGGGACTTGCGCAGCTTTGACGCGCCAATGAGGCTCCTCTCTGACGCCATCGAGTCTGAGGTGGAGCGCTGGGGAACCAGGCAGGAGTCGAGTGTTCTGGGGGTCTCCAGAAACTTGGGGAGATTCTTCTCTGTGAGTGTTTCTCCCCCGGGTCATCTCCATACTTCCTGTAAACGGGGGAACTTGGCTTCCTGGGAGGACAAGAGGTGTAGCGCCTCGCCTCGTGGTGGCCTTCAACTGGGGCGTTCCCGTGCGCCGCGGGAACTGGGCACTCTGGAGTGCGCGAAAGAGCTGCGGCGAGCCGCCTCTGTTCATGCCTTTTGCCTGCGGGGTTCCCGTGCCTCTTGGGAATCTATTAGGGTTGGGAATGCCTGCTGGGAGATCCCCAGCGTCCCGCGCTTGCTGATAGGCACGCATTGCAGCATGTAATCCCGCCGCGACCTGTTCATTCGAAAGGTCTTGAGAGGCAGTCCAGCTTGAGTGATGCGCGTGCTTGAGCCCTCTTCTGTGTGATCTCCAGTGCCTAGGCAGCTCCAGAGGAGCCTGTGAGTAGGGCAGCCGCATGCCTCCGATTGGCGCAGCTCCTCTTCCTGAACTCTGGATATTCTGCGTGTCTCTTGTACGCGTTGGAACTGGTTCTTGTGTGGCTTCCGTGGTTTCCTCTTCCTCTTCTTCGTCCTTTAAAAGGACTGAGCCACTAGGCATTCCGGGAATGAAGAATGTTTCACCATGCCAACGAGGAGGAGGAACAGTGCCTTCACTAAAGCCCTCTTCACTGCCTTGGTAAGAGCCTTGTTCGCTGCCGCTACTGCCTTCGTTCTTAGGAGCTTCTGAGAAGGAATCACAGCACAGTCACAGTTCTGGATGATCACAGCGTTCGCAACTGCCTGCGGGTTGTGCCAGCTCTGTAACAGTATTTGACGTACTTGAAGGATAGCAAGGAAGCATAAACTGCCAAAACAACATGAATGCATCACTACTTTGGCGTACCTGGCTGCTCCCAAGCAAGACGTTGTGGACCGCTGGGCTCTACGGGATGTATTGGGCCGTGAGCTTGCGAAATTGCGACAAAGACGAAGGAGGCGACAAGGCCGAATGTTCCCACAAAGGAGCGAGGACCGAACAGGATTGTCATCGTGATTCTTTGACTGGGGAAAAGCGCAGCAGAGACAAGAAAACAATGTTTGGAACTCCTGAAGAGTCTGGCACACTTCTAGATCAGTGAAGCTAAAGCATGCTGAAGGAAAGGGAATCTCGCTAAAGGGCAATTAGATGGGCTTCTCCCAAACTGCCGAGAGGTGGGGACAACGAGCCTAAGGGCTGGATCAAGCGTTTGCCGTCCTGGCCCTAGCCCACGATTTGACTGCAGCTTGCCTGAATCAAATAAAAAACCCTCTAGAAGCTTAAGAGGTAGCGGTCATAAGAGTTCTGTCCTTTCGATAGTGAGCCTGAGACTCTGTGGAGGGCACAGAAGACTCGACCGCTGGTTTCAAAAACAATGTCTTGCAAGCAAGCTCAAGCGCCGGTCGAATGAAATGCGAAGATTAGATCTAATAATTCACTTAATGATTGTTAATCTTGGTTAAACATGTAGATGTGCAAGATTTGAAGAAGTGAGAGAGGCCTAACGGCAGCAGCAAGCGCGAGGCGGACCGCTGTCAGACCAGCAAGCCGTGTCGGGGAGGGCGGGGCCCACTGGGCCCTTTGAGCGCAGCTGCTCGAAGGAGCTCCCTTCTGAAACGCGTATTTTTCTCCGTTCTTTTCATTATTAAATTATAAATGTGGTAATAGTTTATTTTAATGTTATCAAAAATTTGCCATATGGGTCCAAGACGTCGGCATTGAGGCTATGTCTTTTCTCGGACACGCGTTACCGTTTCGATGGCCTACATGAATTTTCGACAGCTGTTTCCACGTGAGCTCCAAAAGTATGAAACCTTTTAAGAGAAAAATGCCACGTACATCAATCACCTTTCTGGAAAATAATATAGGGGCAAACGCTGCTCAAAGGGTTGCTGTGCGCGAGAACGAGCAAGCGACTTCGCGCTTGCAAATGAGATCTGGTGTCTGGTACCTGCAGTAAGGCATCTCACAAATAAAAACACAGCAATGACTGCCCAATTTCTAAGAAAAAATTAAGCGATATTTTTGAAGTTGTTTTCAGATAAAGTTCTTAAATACAAGCTTCTCCAGCTACTCACGGAACGATCATCTCGTGAACGATCATCTCGCATTACGAAATCGCGCACACTGCAATCATCTCGCAGTCTCTGACTAATAATCAGATTACACCTTCATTTGATTTTTGTTCCCTTGCATTCATTATTCAGGCTTTTAGCAATATTGCTAGGGCTCATTTTGTTTTCGACATTGGCGTAGCAGTGAATTCTTATCCGGCATATTGCTTATGCGTCCATCATTCTTAAAGGCTTGCCTCAACTGTTCTGCAGCAACAAGGCTAAACATGCACATAAAAATTTCTACTTCGACACAAGGCATGCAGAAACGCAGTTGTGCCAGCATATTACTTCTCACTCAGGTAAGTTACAATGGGTGCAGCCTTGGTGCTGATTTAGCTTGCAACTAATTCTCCTCACCACTTGAAAAGAATTCGCATATTTCAGTGAGCCTCACGAGAAACGCACTGAGGTATTATTTCACGTGCTCTGCATTGTACACCGTAGCAAGCGCCCGCATTTCCCGAGTCACTTCTTGCTTTATATTGGGGTACTCTTGCCAACGCAGGGAGTCAACCCTACTCGCTGGAATAGAATTAATTTTGGAATCAGTGCAACATCATGGTCGGGTACTCCAAGGTGTGCCTTGGTCACAAGCGCTGACTAAACCCTTTTCTCTCTTTCGTGTTTGCCCACCTTTAATGGCAGCTGGATCGTTGTAGGGCAGTTACTTTTTGTACTGGCTTGAAGCAAGCAGTGATGCAAATGGGTTTGGAGTACTGCTTACGCTGCTGCAAAGCACTATCTGTGGAAATAAAAACAATACTTTGTTACTCTAAACTGTTCATCAGCATTCAACTCAGTAAATAAATTCCAGGCAAACTACGCACCAGCACTTTCATTCTCCGTGGTGATGTATTATTTAGAGTCATTGCTACTTTGCACCTCGATGTCAATACTTCTTCCCAGCAAGGAAGCTTGAGTTCGTCTCATGATTCCAAAGGAACGACGTACTTGGCGCAACGCAGCAGCACGAGCTGTCAGTGTAAATGTAATGCAGCGTTTGTTCCTCACACACGTCGTACCTCTTAGTAGGATGCCTCCAGAAAGTTTTGTGATTACAGCTTGGAAGCAATTAAGTATGTACACAATATGTTGATTCTTGCACACAGTTGAGGAAAATAGACTTCGTGGCGCGTTTGAGGACGTTTTACGTGTATACTAGGCGTTAATCACCCATTCAAAACAGCAAAATTGTTGCCTATTTCTTACGGTGCTTCAGTTTGGGGAAGGGGCTAGTGCGGCAAAAAGGAGCACTACAGTTCTCGCTGCTCCGTGAGTGTTGTGGTTCGTTTTTTCCCTGACTCTGTTTTGTCTGGAAACTTGTATGGAAGCTGTAGCACTCACCAGCAGCTACCAATAACTCTGGACTGAAAAAAAACATTGTTCAGGTCTACACAGGTGCGATGCTAATCATTTGTCTTGATATCTCGTCTGGCAGCAAACAATGGGAGCCAGCCTTCGACCAATGCACAAGCGATACACGCATGCCAGTCTTCGACTAGCAGTCTTGGGGAAAAATCTTTTCGTAGTAGCACAATGATCAATTTCCTACTGAATTATCAGCGTAGAATTCATTAGGCACCCAGAAGGCAAAAGCAAGCGAAAACAGATATATGACTCCTCGTCCGTAGTGGAGTTCGCGGAACAGCTTTCGCAGTGCCTCCATTTCATGGTATGCGTACTTTTCTAAAGCATTCGCAATGTAGCCAAGAGCCTCACTGTAGATGATGTTCAAATAGAATAGGCTATACTGAGACAATTTGGCACTGTGCGTCCCAAATTGTCGCGATCCCTAGTTCTCAGTGCGCATTTCAGGTGTTTTCGCTAGATTCAGAAAGATTCGCATGCGGAGAGTAACTTGTATGAAGGTTGCTGCTGCAGGCAATGCTAGCAAAAACTTTAGTGACCCCTTTGGCTGGCTGCTGGCGTTGTAAGAATTTAAGAGCCGCTGCTTGACGTTTTACCAAGCAGTGCCTCTTGAGCACGTAGAACGCCAGTAGCGCATCTACCTACGGTTGCTGAATGTGACTGATCCTCCGCTACTGATAGTGAGAAAGTAGTTCAGTGGACATCCCATGTGCAAAGAAGCAGTGCTGTCTGTTCAGTTTTGCCAAGATGTGCTACGGTTGGCCTGCGTAGACTTTGTTGGCACTTCCCCCGCTTTGTCCCTATCTCTTTCTCTGATGTCGCACTCCTGAGAAGATGCAGCAACTGTATGAGGTATATGAGGTTTTGAAAGAGTCGAACAGTCATGTATGAGCTTTGCAACGAGGGACGTGGAGGCAACTCGCAGACACCTGTCGGCGAGCGCATAGTCGGGCGATGAAATCGAAGGTCCCGCTCTGTCAGGTACGTTTTATAGTTTCAAGATATGGGCTTAGCATTAACTGTTTACTGACCTTATTCATTTGCTTGTCACCGTGCTGCCAGCAAACAAAACTGCACTGGCGTGCTGAACAGGTCTGATATGCCGACACTGGTCGCTGATGAGCTTGCACATTGCCAGTCCGAGATAGGATGCATACGGTCACTAATCATAATATAAAGTAAGCAAAAAAATATTTGGTTTCGCGCAATTACGCCCGCTGCGTAGCACACCCCCCCATATTCGCATTCCAAAGGGTGCGACCGGTGGCTCATCTCGCCCACGCCACGAAGTGTTCCGTGAGGGATCCTTAAATATGGATGGCTGCGGCAACTCACGCATTGAATTTTAGCAGCAAACAGATATGGCATTTGAAGCCCTCACTTTAATTCTACGTGTTAGGACCGCCTATTCGAGCCGCCGCTCGTGTCGGCGCTACTAGGTGACCGACCGGCCCGCTGCGGCCGATGGTTGCCGAACAAGCTAGACAGAGAAGCGCAAATTCTTTCCCAGAAAAGATTTAGCATAATACAGGTTTAGCGGGAAAACGGAACTTCTGCAGGAGCCCCGGAGAACAGCTCATCATCGAACGGCATTCGTCTGGAGAGCCCACTTGAACATAAGGGCCGAGCGGCTTTGGCTTAACTACACAGCTGCGAAGCCTTTATAAGCTGGCCTGTTTTGTGTTGAATCTTAAGAGCGACAATGGCAGATAAAGGCCCACCCTTTAGGGGGTCTGGGATAGCAACCGTGGGGGGTGAGGCGCCGGTTGAGCAATGCCCTCAAGAGAAGTTCTGTGTGGAAGAGGACTCACCTCTGTGTGACTCCATAATGTGGAAGATGCTAGACAATTACTACAAGCAAGTGGCTATCGAGGCCTGGGCCCACGATTACGTGCCTTCATTTGTTACGAGCAACAGCCGCCTGTGTAGATCCTATGCAAAAATAATCATTAACTTCCTCCAGGACTGGTTCCGACGACCAGAAGCAGACCCAACACAACCAGTTACCATTCTAGAGATAGGTGGGGGCCACGGGCGCTTCACCTTCTTGTTACTGAGGGCTCTACAGCGATACAAGAGGCTCTTCGCAAGTCTGGGACTTCCTGAGCGCCCCTTCCTCGTTGTGTTTTCGGATGTAGCTGAGGCAAACGTGGACTTTTGCTCAAAACATCCAGCTCTTAAGACATTCGTAGAAATGCAGTGGCTAGACTTTGCGATCTTCGACGGTAATAAGGACAGAGAAGTTCACTTGGTCGTGAGAAACGAACCACTCACTAATGGCGCGGCCCCCGTTGTGGCCATTTGCAACTACGTGCTGGACTCTCTGTTGACAGACTCCTGGAGGTGATGATGATTTCTTATGCCAAAGCTTACATCTGTAGCTCGAGCAATGCGGGAGAACACAGGACGGCGGGTCATACCGTATTTTGAGCACTTTTATGTATCCCGCGATTGCTCCACACTTAAAGAAAAATAGCTTCATTTGCTAGACATTGATTTTGTACAGTGTGCCAGTAAGGTCATGCCGTCTTGTTTGTCTGCAGGATAACACCAGGCGCCTGCACCCATGAGTTTGAACGTTCCCTTGTTTCCATTTACTCACCGTCAGAGGAACAGCAACTCGATGCTCCAGACATAATGCTACGGATGACTTTGGGTTGGAAGTGGAAAGGGGTAAATTTGGATGCTGCCTGTGACCCTTCAAACCCGGAAAAAATTGATTACCTGCATAAAGACCCAACTATCAAGGAGGTTTTGCTGCGCTATCGCCAGCTGAACAAGCAGCTTTCCTTTGTGCTGCCGATTGGCGCCTTCGCCCTCTTTCGCAACTTGAGCCACATTGGAGGTGGCCGTCTATTCTGCTTAGTTGGAGATAAGGGCTATCCAACGGCAGACGAATTCGTGGGACCCAGGGATCCACATATTGCCATACATGGCTCCATTTCATTTATGCTCAATCTGCACGCTGTTCGGATCTTCTTTGAGTGCATGGGAGGTTTTTCTCATGCGACGCCGTACAGAGATACATTTCAAGTTACGGGTACGCTACACATTTAAGGTTACGGGTTTGCTACACGGGTTTGCTACACAGAAAACCTTCGCCATCCAGGGGAGGGAAATGTGAACTTTGGCGGATGCTCACTGCTGAGTCACTGCTGCATGGTGGTGAAGTTAGATCGTCTGTGCAGGCCTCTGGCTCTGCGGCACGGAACACGAAATGGGGAGAAGCGTAGCGGCGTTTCTTGAGGATGTGGAAGACCTTGCACCTGATGCACTCATCAACTGGCAAAGGGCAGCGCAAGAAACAGTCGCTGCGGGGGGAGGGTAAGGAGCATGAGCCTTATATCCCAGGCCCCCAACCTTTTCTCAGAGACAATGGCGCACTCACTTATCGCAGTTCAGTAGACTTTCGAGGCTTGTCCCAGGGACTCATGGTGGCGTGCATTAGGGATGGCGGAACAGAGCAACCGCTCACTCCTGGGTCGCGGGCATTATCCCTTCTAGTTTACTCGTACAGATTGAGTTCTTAAGCCTTGAATTTGCGGACTATTTTCTGTGCAGGCCTGCCAGCAGCATCAAATCTCTTATATCCCTCCTTCGATACTCAGCGCATGATGCGGATGTTTTCTTGAATTTTTCGAATGAATTTACGAGTCAGTGTGTGCATCCATATCTGAACCCTCGCACAGAGCATGACTTGATTGGGGACCTTGAAGAAACATTTGCTAATTGGTATAAACTGAAAAAGGGAGAGGACGTTGCAGACGTCTGCGGCCACATATGCATGCGCCTTGGCAGGTGCGACAAGGCTCTCAAGTTCCTCCAGGTGAGTCTTTAGCTTGACGTTGTAGTACAGGTTTGTTTGCCGTTGAGCGTATACTCTAAAACTGATTTGGAATTTCAGTTTTCTGTGGCGCGTGGTTGTGCCCCTGCCTGTTGTTTTAGGCGAGTGCGGACTTAGAGCCTGAGCGGACTCATCCGTCGACCTACGTTAATCTCGCAAGTTGCCACAAGGTCGAAGGCAAACTAGAGGCAGGCATCAAATGCTGTGAAAAGGCCCTCCAGATCGACCCCAACTACACGCAAGCTATTCAGATGCTGCGCACGCTGAACATGTGCATTAACCCCGCAAAAGTTGCCCTCATTGGCCTTGGCTACTGGACGCAGTAAGCCCTTTTACATCTTGAAGAAACAACTTGTGCGCGACGCTTTTTGCCCTTGCTTGACTGCTGCTGGATCGTTGCTCATTAGCAGGTATTGTGCTTATAGATGATACACCTGAGTTAGTATGTTGATTGTTTACCCGCCCTTTGTTTCAGATACGAAGCGCTTCCTTTACTCCGTCGGGACACACGACTAAAGATCGTCGCCGCGTTTGCATTTAAGCAGGAGGACGTGGCAACATTGGTTGAGAAGGCCGAGTTGCAAGGAGTCGAGCTTTACAGCGGGTCTCAAGGGCTGTCATCTTTGTTGGAGAGGTCAGACATTCAGGCGCTTGTGGTTGACGTCCACATGCAGCTAATGGTAAGCCAAACACTTTGGAGATCTCCTCATTCAGATAAAATAGGCAGTATGGCTTTCGTCTCAGCTGTGCAACAGCAGTGTTTCGATTGAAAGCCGAATTTGGGGTGAAATGTCCCTGCAGATGTCTTTACTCCCCCGCGTGTTCGCCGCGGGCAAGCACCTCTTGACTCGGTCTCCCTTGCAGATGAGCCTTTCCTCGGCAGCTGCGCTTCTAGACATATACAAGCCTTACTGCAACTCAGTAGTGTGGCATGCAGTTGAGAACAACAGACAAGAAGAAGCGTTCGTGGAGGCAGCTGCCAAGCTTGCAACCTTGGGGAGAGTGACTTCGGTGTCCTTTAGATGTGGAACGGACACTGCTCTGAAGTACAAATTCTCAACTGCGCCATACGACATCAAACGTAAGCGCCATCACGTTGGGTGCAGTCCTTCTCCAAGGACGCACGCAAACTGGACCAAATTTGCATGCTCACTGCATGCAGCGATGGGCACTCTTAAGAAAAGTATTTTCAAGGGGACTTTCTACTAAGTGACGAATTTTGAGTGCATTTTCTGGGTTTCAGATCACATGGCGCTCGATCTGCTGCGCTGTGTGACGGCTCTCCGTCAAATAACGGGCCTCCAAATGAGCTCACTGTCTGCAGTGGCAAAGGGAGACCATGCTCCCTGCTGCGGCAGTCCCTCTAGCCAGCTCGAGGATAAGCCAGACAAAATTAAAAATACGAGACTTCGTCGCGAATATGCAAGGTTGAGCGGGTGGCTGACCTTCGTGAATCCCAGTTCACATCAGAGTGAGTGGGGTGTTCTTTAGATGCATGGATGTGCACACGAATGGATAAGCGTGGCAAGCGCGCTGGCCTACATATAGTTTCGTGATGTCTCCGCATCTCGCCTTGCCTGCATTCCTGTTTTCTTCCTGGTTATGATTTACAGCAAGTGTTCTTCTGACTACCTGACTACCTCAGAAATGCCCGAACTTGGATTGGGTAATTGCCTCTGTGGCTTGTTCAGGTGTCCTCGGATCCTTTGTAATCAGCCACTGTGTAGGCGACAATTCACTGACCTATAAGATCAATTGCTTGAGAGGCACAATGAAACTGACAAAGGCATCGTCTTGTACGTTTTTTCTTTCTTTGAAGCAAAGCATTGCACTGATTTAACATTGCTGTATCGCTTGTTCTGTTGAAACCCAAACGGAGTCATATACATAACAGGAGGATTTCTGAGGCTTGGCTGACCACTTAGCTTCGACGCAGCGATAATGGCAAACTAAGTGGTGAAATCGAAATTCAAATTACTCTGCGACTTCGTTGCAGGTTGGCGCATCGACATTACGGGCGAGAAAGTCCCTGGTGGCACGAGCTTTGCTGTACAGAGCATTGGGCACCAGAACTGCCACGACGCCTTTGCAGAAGAGCTCTATGAGAAGCTCCGGTCTACTGAGAAAAGTACAGGGGGAGCAAATTCTGAAGAAGGACCGACACTGGTTGATATATCCATCAACGGGGCACTCGCTGATTCCGCAATCATTGAGGGCATACTCGCATCTATGCAGGTATGGTTATGAAAGGCCTGTATGCGGCTTCTTCCCGTTTGCGTGCTTTTTTCCAAATCCATATGCACGAGAATATCCCTTGAGAGCTGAGGTTGATGCCGTGAATTGTTACGCTGCAGAACGACGGGGCTCCAGCTCGTTTTGGCAGCCCTGTATCTGAAGCTGTTGAAGGTCACAAAAAGATGGACAAAAAATCAGCCTCTCTCCGGAGCGTGCATTGCTATGATTCTACAACGGTGGCTTGATATCTTGGCAACTTGTCACATGCGAGGGAGGCTCCCCGAGACTCGAGAAGACCGTCACGACGACTCCACGACTGACATGGTCTGTCACTTTTTCCTCCAAAGAGAGGCAGGCAGGACTTAATCACGTATAGCGCTAGTCTCTTGTCTCCGGCACAGGTTCTTTCTGGCCTGTCTTTTGCTATTTTTTGTGGCTCCGTGCCACAGTGTAGCGTGCGAAGGCGCTGTAAGCCTGAAGAGGGCAGTCTTTGTCTTGACAGCCAATTCTTCAGTTAGGACTTGTCGTTTCAGAGCGTAGGAGACCTATGTGTTTTGGATAGAGCTCAACTGCCTTTCTAGCGGCACTCACGCAGACGCAGCGTGCGCTCGACTTTTGGGTTCCATATTTCCATATGCTTCTCGGTGGTCTACAACTTTGCCGCGCAGTCAATTAGTCGTACTGTAGAGGAGTTTGCGACAGCTGGCGTGGTCAGGAGACGAATGGGGCAAGTTTCTGCATTAGGGTTTCTGTCGGCCTTCGTACTTGATGCTATTCATCGAAGGGTTGCAGCTGGCTTCAAGCTAGAGAAGAACCACCTTTCTGTTGAAGGCCAACTACACCGTGCACATAGTGCTGTAGGTCCAACTCGTTGACTACAGGGATTCGTTGCTAGTCAAAGGATCGATTTTCTGCATCTGCTGAAGTGTACGAAACTCCCAGTACCTTTGCCAGTGAGGCACATCAGTAAGGAGTCTTTACCGTCCGCAAAGAAAACCAGTACTTCTTATTTTTAGCAAAACTATGAAACACAAAGTATAGCATTCCACCGGCGACTGCTCGCGTGCGCGTGCCGAGGCTTCTCCTGAAGATTTCTGTGTCAGAGACGGACGACGTTGCGCTTCGCCTTGCTTTCCTCAAAATTTTCCGATTTTTTCTAAGAACAAATTTGCACTAAAGACGCTGTGGAAGCACCTCAGTAACACCCTTTTTAACTTTGCTCCTTAGAGAAACCTGGCAAGCCAATATGCAACAGTTCGATGACGGACTCTCATAGCATTTGTGATCATTCTATTAGTCAGACGAGACTTGAACTGAGCAACTTGTAAATGTGTTTGCTGCACACTCCAAGAGGTGTAATGTAAAGATGAACACTGGCGCCTCACTCGATATTTACTTGAGTAAAAAACCCTCCAAAAATTTTATGCTTGTGCGGTGCCCAGCGAGCCGGCGAAGCATAATTAGGAACGGAGCAATAGCTCGCTTCACGATCCACGGAATTAACCTAACAAAACGCAGTGCATCCTTGCAAGCAACACATCAAACGCAACACGTTCATGTAAGCTGAGACTGCAGCCTTTTCGTGAAAGTTGCCAACAGGCTATTGTTGCACCTGTGGGTTTAGCTAGGACGGTTAGTTTTAAACGTTGGTGTAACTGCTTCGAGGAGGGGATGCATAGGCTACCAAAAGACAGCAGGTATAGCAGGTCCAGTCAAGCAAGATAGTGCTCAAGCTGTTTTTCTTTGAGCTGGAAATGCAAATGTTTCGAGTATTGCGTTGCGTCGTTTAAAACAACTAGGATCATTTCAGGGGCACTATTATTCGCCTGTAAGCTAAACAGTAGCCCTACAGGAAAGACACAAGGAATGCTCTCGTGACAACATTATGCTGGCGCCGTTCCTAGTCTTACACTTGCGTTAAAGGACTATCCATGCTTTTCCTTGTCTTTGTCTTCGCCGACAAATTGCAAGTGTGTCACCTCGCACTAACTGCGTTCATTCAGGACAACTGCCAGGGCGATCTAGTTTCTGTTTGTGAGCATGGCGGCTGCTTTCTCTTGAAAGCAGCCGCCATGCTTATTGCTTTCCTTGTTTCTGCATGTATTATAAGTATCTGCCCCCCCGCCACACCGTCGCCCCCACCAACTAGCCAAATGGCACCGCGAGCATCCTAAACCCTGCCAAAAGTGTCATTTGTGAGTGACTGGAACCAGTTCCGGATACTGAACAACAGATCCTGTAGACTTAGACTAAATGTGTACGGTCATCAGTACACAAAAACGAAAAGAGGGAAGGATTTGTGAAGGAGTTCCAGTAGCTTTCAGGCCCAACTAAGCCTGTTGGGTTCTTTACACCGCGGTGAGTGCACAGCGAGTAGCACACAGACCGCTAAGTCCGAAGAACTTCATTGCGGGAGAAAAGATGGTTCAGATCACAAGAACTGTCCTTCAGTTCTACGAGGTTGCGCTCCACCAGATGGTGAAACCGAGGGAAAGCAGAACGAGGAAGAGAGAACAATTGAACAGACACCTGAAAGCCCACAGGCCCACAAACGGAGGCTGCAAATGAGATATGAATGCCTCTGCTGCATCTGCGCTGGAAACTGTTAGACTAAATGCATGCAATGCATGCAGCTTCGCGGAGTCAAACAATTCGACACAAAAGACAGACAAGCCTTCATAAGGGCGCTACAGGTAGCAAGCCCCACCGCCTGCACTTTCTTCTTCTCTCTGCACGCACAGCAATTGCCATCTCTCGAGCTGCCCTCACCGACTCTTGGCGAACTCCTTCGAGGTTTCGGTCCACGACTTCTGCAGCAGAAATTGTCACAAGTGAAAAGATCTGAAGACATTGACTGACAGATTCACACCAATAAACGTACATGCGCAAATGCGCACGCATGCATGAAAAAACAAAAGATAGAATGCAGCTGAAGTCTAGAGCGCTGCAGTGTCTAGAGGCAGGCAGAAGACTTGTGCTTTCTTCTGGCCTTGTTCTCAGCAGCACACTTCTATAGTAAACTGGAGTTGGCTGTGCTTCAGTTTACTATAAAAGTGTGCTGCTGAGAACTCACCACCAGTAAAGTACATCAATACTGGGGCATGATGATTTCAAAAGCAACACAAGCAGCAAAGGTGCTTTTTTTATTTCTAGTTAAGTAGCTTTGCTGTGTTTTAGATTCGGTATCGAACAACGAAGAGCACATGATGATGCAAAGCAAACAAACATCCAGAACAACAGCAGAATCTCAAACTGCTATAAAGTGAATAAGTCTGTAAAGGCACACCAAGTCGGCTCCCCTGTTCATCCGTGAAGAAAGCCATTTGTTGGTAAAGTGACTGAATGCCTGCAAACCATAAACACCGCGAAAGGTTGCAGCGCATGCTACGGTGTACGTACATCCTGTTTATGACACTTTAGCGAGAACGTAAGGGAATTTGCACACTTTTTATTTCTCGGTGGATCTTCGCGAGATTGTCCCTCTTCTCCTGCACCAGTGAAGCCGCAATTTTGCTGTCGGGGATAAATATGGGCACCGACCTAAAGACATACATAAATATAAACAGAAAGCGAAATAAAAAACAAAAAAACGAAACAGTGGAAGAATATTTCGAGAAAAAACACGAAACATGACAAAGAAAATGAAAACTTCCGATTTTGCCAATCCATCTTACGTTCTTGCCTGAGTCAGCTTGTGCTGCAGCTGCAGCGGAGCTGGACATACACCGTACTGCGGCCACAGCTGCGACGTCGCATGCAGGTGCACGTGCTGGGCTGCTGCCGCTGTCTGCTGATCAGCAGCAGCAGCAGCAGCAGCAGCAGCAGCAGCAGCAGCAGCGCCCCTCTCCGCTCCATCGTTCACTTCCCTCGCACCGTGAGCAGCCGCTGCAGTTGTTTGAGCAGAACCCCTGAGATGGCCAGCAGCTGCAGCAGCAGCAGCAGCTGCTGCTGCTGCTTCTGGGGCTGATGCCGCCCCTGGGCCATATGCAGCAGGAGGGTCTTGGCGAATATTTGGCTGCGGCTGCAGGCTGCCGTGCGAGCCTTTCTGCTGCTCCTGTGTGGCTGCATCATCCACATCCAGCAGCAGCAGCTCTTGCTGCTGCTGCAGCAGCTCTTGCTGCTGCTGCTGCAGACAGAGCTCTTCTCCCTCCGCTATATCTCGCAGCTGCCGCAGCAGCTGCTCCGCAGCACCCACGAGCTGCTTGTAGTGCATGTGCCGCTGCTGCTTCTCCCTCGGCGAAGCAGCAGCACTGACATGCAGCTGCAGCTGCCGCAAGGCGCTCCTCAAGTTGTCAGCTGCTGCTCTGGCAGCCACAAACTCCTGCTGCAGCTGCTGGTGCTGCTGGTGCTGCTGCAGCTGCTCCTCAAAGACCCCGCTTGACAGCAGGCGGCGAGGGTCCGAGCGTGCGCAGTGCTGCTGCAGCGACTGCAGCGCAGCAACATGTCGCCGCAGCAGCTGCTGCAGCTGCTGCGCCTTGCGGGCATCTTCGAGGTAGGCACTGTCAGCAGCAGCCGTGGCTGCTGCTGCTGCATGCAGCTCTGCGAACGACATGGCAGCAGCAACAACGCCACTCTCCTGGACTGTCTGTACACCTGAATACAAGCCTTCAATCAGCCGCTGCTGCTGCAGTTGCTGCTGCCGAAAGACATTGTTTCTCTCGCCTACGGGGCCCCAGAGCTGTCCCCGCTGAGCTCTGCTGCTGAAGACACACAGCGCTGCATTGCGATGGCTCCCTCATGCAGTTTGCGCCTGTGGCCCCTCAGCAGCTGTTGGGGCCTGCAGCCTCAGCTGCAGCAGGGAAACTCTCTGACTCAGAGCGGCCCTAGTCTGCTGCTGCAGCAACAGCAGCAGCCCTGGCGCCCCAAGACTCTTCCTCTGGATGGTCTGGGGAGGCGAGACTAAAGCTGAAAGATCATGGGGCCCTACAGCGGAGCTTGTCCGCGGGCGCGTCCTGCTGCTGCTCCCGCCGCTGCTGCAGTCGCGGGCACTCAGCTGGAGATGTATTGCTTGTTTCGTCTGAAGTTTAAAACTAACCAAGTATTTGAAAAGTGTTTAATCTTCAGTCAGTGCACAACAGGATAGAAGTAGGCAGAAGCTGACGCTCATTCAATTGGAATGAGGCAAGGAACCCCGCACACAGCCGACAACTGTCGACTTGTGCATTTTTTCTCGTGTCAATTACGAATTCTTGAAATAACAGAATAATGTGTGAAGCAATGTTTCTGTATGCCTTTATTGCATGTCGGATGTTGTTTTGGTGTACTTTTCGCCACGGCCAGCTAAGCCTGCTGCAGGCTGAGGAACAAAGTGTGACGGAAGTTTCGATTGTATCCTCATGCGCGGCATCTCCACTGTTATCCTCCGCATTTCCTCTTTAAAAACACCGCTAAACACTTCTATAGGAGCAGACAATTCAGTTCAATTGCATCGAAGACCAACAACTGCACAAGTTGAAATGGGACAGGACCACGCCCCGGGATGGTATCCACGCAACCCCACAATGCCTTTCAACTGCAGTTTCTAAGAGAACCAAAAAGCATGCAAGGGATGCCTCAATCTCATACTAGTCTTCTTGTGCCTATCTGTGCGCGGTGGACTCGTCGCCACTGACACTGTTTCGTATGCAAAGGCAGCAGCAACACAAACGAGGGAATAAACCCTCTACAAGCTTCTGCATACAAGCAACAGCCTGTGAAGCATATATTCAAGTATAAACACTTGCAAGCAAGATGCGGCTCTCCCACCTTCAGCGACCGCCGCTACACTTACCACAAAACGGAAGCCATAGGCGTGTTCAACAATGGCCGTACGCAGAGCTCAACACTGGAATATACTGAAAGAAAGTATATTCCGAGATCTTCCTAGAATATCCCCGTTAGGCTGGGGTGTAGGGCTTCTTAGATAGTGGTCCCTAGCCATAGGCAGACGTGAACTCATCAGGTAGAGGATATGTACATGTTTCATGAACAATTTAACTGGCGCCCTTGACGGAACTCAGCCTCTGTAGACTAAGACGGCCCGTCAATGGTGCTATTCGTCTCGGCCTTTTCATAGTGGCTAAGTGGATCTCAAGTAATCTTGATACTGAATGTGACGAAGTACCACTTGGCAGTCTTGTGCGGGAATAGCGCAGAGAGGCTAATGACTAGCATGTGGCGGAGCCAAAGACAGAGGAAACAAAAAACAGTTGGGTAGAGAAACCAAAAACAGAAACCCACATACATCTGTCACAAATCAGCAACCGCACAATGCACTGAGTTTGCCAAGTAAAGCAGGTGGATCAGTAAGAAGACAGCGACCGCCAAATAGGGGAAAAGATAAAGAGGGAAAGAAATTCTTCCGCTCAACCCCCCACTGCTCGTGGAAATGAGCCACATGGGTGGTTGCCTTTCTGCATTGAGGACAGCTGAGCATGCGAAGTTGTCTCAAAATCTTGACTGTTGTCCCCCTCAGCTTTCAAATTTGCCATCGGATTCTTTATTATTATTTCTCCAGCTCGTCCAGGTCCTCTGCCCCAGAGGCAAGCGTCTTTACAGGACCCTTGCTGCTGCCTATTCCAGAGCCGGATATCTTAGCACGTTTTCCTGTAGTCTGCGTGTGCAGACGAACATCCCTTTTGGTGCTGCAGAAGTTGCTGCCTGTGCTGCTGCAGCACCGAACAGCAGCTGCTGCAGCAGCAAACGCTGCACCACTCCCCGCCCCTCACTGACGCCCTGAGATCTGTAGCTTCCCAGTCAGTCTGACACGGCTCAACTGCCTGTCTGCTGCCTGCCAGTATCTGTCAAGTTCTGCTCCTCAGCAGAGCCACTAAGCTCACCAAACCTGCAGTGGCTTGGAGGTGAGCTGCTGAGTAGCAGTAGCGCTGCTGCAGCTGTTTCTGCAGCCGCTGCAGGTCATTCTGCAGGTGCTGCAGGCGTTGCTGCAGCTGCTGCAGCTGCTACTGCAGTTGGTGGTGTTGCTGCAGCTGCTGCAGGTGCTGGCGTAGCTGCTGCAGCTGGGGCAGCTGCCGGCGTGTCAGCAGGTCTTTCCGGCAATGCAGACGTGGAGAAGCAGTCGCCTGAAGGTGGCTTTGGGGCCAATGCTGGGCATGATGAGCTTGGCGAGGGCCTGGCTGAGGTACTGGCGGACTTCGTCTTGGCCCGAAAGCTTGAGAGTGGTGTCTTTGAGGGGCCCCGTGTCTTGGTCGAGGAGGCCCCCCCTGCGGCCGTGCGGGTAAGTGCCCAGCCTGCGCAGCAGCTTGGGCACGTCTGCAGTCCGCAGCGTCACCTGCACCTCCTGCTGCACAAAAGACCGCCAAAACGTCGTCACCTTCTCCTCCACTATCCCCACCACTGCCTGCACCCCCCCCCTCTCTGGGTGGCTGTTCACGTACGCCACAGTGGCCTGCAGCGCCCGCGCTGCGGGGATCTGCCAGACGCCCCTGCTCACGCGCGCCTGCACCTGCACCACTCCGAACTCGCCCCTGCGCGCACCCACAAGCACGCATGCAGTAGCCTCTACGCAGGCAGCAGCAGCAGCAGCAGCAGCAGCAGCTGCTGCGGCAGTAGCGGCGGTGATAACCGCAGCAGCAGCAACCGCAGCAGCAGAACTGCACCAGCACCAGTAGCTGCAGCAGCAGAAGCTGCGGCAATAGCTGCGGTAATGACTGCAGCACAAGCTGCGGCAGCGAAAGGGCAGCAAGCCTCTGGAACGCTCCAGGGGCCACTAAAGGGGCCCATAAAGCGTCCGGAGAAATAAAAAAGATGGAAATAAAAACAAAAAATAGCAGAAAAGAAATGCCAATGCAAACCCAACAGTCCAGACGCCGTTCCTCCAGCCTACCATCTAAACTTCATCTACAATACCCAGCCGCGGACAAGCAAAATGATCCATACACGACACAGCGACCTTGCATACACGCATGCATGCATTAATGCATGCACGAATGCATGCATGAATGCATGCATGCATGCATGCGCGTTCATGGTTGCATGCATGCTGACGTACCTGAAAAGCGGCGAAGGCGGCAATGGGGGCAGCTTGGCGGGTTCGAAGGAAACAGACACTGGAATGGTGTCGAACACCATGGGCTCCCTGAAAAAGAAAAGCAAAAGAAGGAAAAAAGGCTCAAAAATCTTTATTTCTGAAGTCCCGAAAGCCCCAAAAAGCGCATGCAAGCCCTGGCCTTGTCGCAGGGAGAACCCCGCGTCCCGCGCGCGCGGCCGCTGCTGCCTGCGGTGTACGTACACCCGGAAAAAGACAGAGTAGAAAGGAAGCTCCGCCTCCATTTGCCGCCAAAGGGCTGCCACTTCTTGAGAAGGAGCGCTGAAAGAACTGCAGAGCTTCTCCGCCACATCCAGCTTGCGCAGCACTTCCTGCGGGCCCGGCACGGGGCGCGGAATGTCGCCTGGAAACACAACAACCCCACCATTCTGCTGCAGCTCCTTAGCAGCAGCCAGCAGCAGCAAGCAGCAGCACTGGGCAAACAGCAGCAGCAAAGGCCCGCAGCAGCGCAGCAAGTGCCCGCGGTGCCCTCCACTACAACAACCCCACAATTCGCCTCGGGGCACTCAGAGCAGCAGCAGCAGCAGCAGCAGCAGAAGAGCCGTAGCCTCGAAAGGCTGCGCAGCAGCAGCAGAGTTGGCGCAAAGGAGGCAGCAACTGAGAGCCCCCAAGGCTGAAGAAGCAGCAGCAAGAAAAGAGCCACAAAGAGTAGCAACGCAGGGAAAGAAACACTGCATCCATGCATACACTGCATGCATGCAGCTGCAGCAAACAGGGCCAGACAAAGAACTACTGCATGCATGCAGCTGCAGCAAAGAGCCAGAGGAAGAAATACTGCATGCATGCAGCTGCAGCAAATGGCGAAGGAAAGAAACACTGCATGCATGCAGCTGCAGCAAATGGCCAGGAAAAGAAGTACTGCATGCATGCAGCTGCAGCAAATGGAGAGGGAAAGAAATACTGCATGCATGCAGCTGCAGCAAATGGCCAGGAAAAGAAGTACTGCATGCATGCAGCTACAGCAAGTGGCCAAAGAAAGAAGTACTGCATGCATGCAGCAGGGGCGAGGGGCCCCGGGGCCCCACCCTTTCGGTCTCCGACGTAGACAATGAGCACGGCCTTGCGGGCCAGCTGGCCTGCCACCATACTTCGCAAATAAGACTTGGTGAGTTGGTCGAATTTTTTGACAACTTCAGCTCCAAAAAAAGGACTTCTGGCCACCACTAGGGGCTCCTGAGAAGGGGGAGAAACTGCAGGCAGCAGCCGGCCCTCCGTCAGGCTTTGCAGCTGCGACTTCAGCCTTTCTTCTGTCTCATCGGGGGCCCCCGCTGCTGCTGCGGGGGCCCCCGGGGGCTCGGAGCTTTGCCCGGGGGCCTCCAGGCCGGGCCCCGGGGCCGCAGCACCAGGGGCCCCCTGGGCCGGGCCCTGGAGCTGGGGCTGGGGGCCCCCCGGGGGAGGCGGGGGGGGGCCCCCCGAGTCCCTGAGGGGGTCTGGCCGCCGGATTATGACTTCTGTGTTCACACTGTCTATGCGAACCACTGCATAGGCCTCTTTGTCGTTTAAAAAGCTCAACTCGTCAATGACTATTTCCAAAAGTCGAAGCGAAGGCACCAAGTGGTACCGGGTGTACAGCCAGTCCGACATTTCCTCCACTGTCTGCGTCGTGATGAAGATCGGCAAACTGCATGCATGCATGCATGCAGCCCTCGCCCCACACCTCAGCTGTACATACACCCGCGCGGGCGTTTGTACGGACACCCCGTAGGCAGATACAACACAACAACTACAACAACTAACAAACCCGCATGCAGACCCACTAGCAGCTAAACAAACTCCGCATGCATGCAACAAGTGCCCCTTTCCTGCTGCTGCGCATGCATGCAACGAGTGCCCCTTTGCTGCACAAGCTCCACTGCATGCGCAACAGCCCTATATATTTATGTGTAAGTTGCTTACATGCATATGTGTATGTCTATAAACGCTCATATATATAGCACATAATAAATGATAAATATAATAATAATAAATATAATAAATATAATAAATGTAGCAAATATAATGCACTAGCCCCCCTCTGCATGCGCAACAGCCCCTGCATGCAAATAGCCCTCAGCCCCAATTTCAAGTCCTGCACTCATCAAAAGCCTTTCAAGCCACTTCACCGATGCAGCTACAAGGCCCTCGTTTTGCTACTCAGTAGTGCATTCAACTAAAGGGTATAGACCTGCATATACTCTTATATATCATACATCTTATATATCTTATTATATTTATTATATTTATAATATATATTATGTACACATGCGTTTATAAACATACATATACATATATATATATATATATATATATGTATACATGTAAGCACATATATACACGCAACACACCCACATACACACACACATATATATATTTTATATACACATTAAGTATATATATATACATATATATATATTTATATATATATATAATGTATATATTTACGCGTACTTTTCCATTTTTATGCATCCAAAAGCAAATTGAAAATATATGAGCAAACGTAATTGAAAAACGTGCTTGGAAGGGCGGCTTAGAAGGCATAAAATGGTTGATTTTGTAGAAGAACTCACAAGAAAGCCTTGATGTGTTTGTGGAGGTGAACCCCTCATACATATATACATACATGTATATATTTGTGCGTTTTCCATTTTTATACATTAAAAAAAGATAAAAACACATGTAAGTAAACATATTTAAGAAAAAGTCCGACTTAGAAGGTATAAAAAGACTGAATTTGCAGAAGAACTCACAAGAAAGCCTTGACGCGTTTGTGGAGGCGCACCCTAGATATATATATACATATATGTAGATATTTATGCGTATTTTCCATTTCCACATTTATTTATACAAATTGGAGAAAAAAGCAGGACTTAGAAGGCATAAAAGGTGGAATTTGCGGAAGAACTCACAAGAAAGCCTTGACGCGTTTGTGGAGGCGCACCCCAGACATACATATACATATATGTAGATATTTATCCGTATTTATGCGCATTTTCCATTTATACATTTATTTATACAAATTGGAGAAAAAAGCGGGACTTAGAAGGCATAAAAAGTGGAATTTGCGGAAGAACTCACAAGAAAGCCTTGACGCGTTTGTGGAGGCGCACCCCAGACATACATACACATATATGTAGATATTTATGCGTATTTTGCATTTATACCTTTATTTATACAAACTGGAGAAAAAAGCGGGACTTAGAAGGCATAAAAAGTGGAATTTGCAGAAGAACTCACAAGAAAGCCTTGACGCGTTTGTGGAGGCGCACCCCAGACATACATATACATATATGTATAGATTTACGCGTATTTATGCGCATTTTCCATTTATACATTTATTTAGACAAATTGGAGAAAAAAGCGGGACTTAGAAGGCATAAAAAGTGGAATTTGCGGAAGAACTCACAAGAAAGCCTTGACGCGTTTGTGGAGGCGCACCATGAACTCCTTGCGGAGCGCCTCGAAGGGGTACTGGGGAAAGGCGTCGGAGAGGTCGACGACGGCGACGCCCTTTTTTTTTAGCTGCGAAATGATGGCTGCGATGCTGCGGTCTGCGGCTAAGTCGTCGAGGCGGAGGCTGTTGAAGGCTTGCTGCAGCTCGGCCACTTTTGCTGCTGCCAGCGCGCGAAAGCGCTCCGACAGCAGCTTGTAGCTGCTGCTCGCTGCTTCTTGTGCTGCTCCCAACACCACCTTCAGCTGCTCCTGGATCGACACCTCCAGCGACAAGTAAGACGCGTTCAGCATCTGCAGGTCCCGCGCAGTCTGACAAACAACATTTCACACGCACTCAAAGCCTGCTGCTGCAGTGCTGCTGCTGCTGCTGCAACGCTGCAGTGCTGCTGCTGCAGTGCTGCTCCTGCTGCAATGCTGCAGTGCTGCTGCTGCAGTGCTGCTGCTGTTGCAATGCTGCAGTGCTGCTGCTGCAGTGCTGCTGCTGCTGCAATGCTGCAGTGCCGGCTCTGCTGCTGGTGCTGCTGCTGCTGTTGTTGTTGCTGCTGCTGCTGCTGCAGTGCCGGCGGTGCTGCTGCTGCTGCTGCGGTTGCTGCTGTTGCTGCTGCTGTTGCTGCTGCCTCTGCTGCGCGGCTCACTGCTTCCTGTTTGTCCCTGAGGCGCGCGAGCTCAGCCGCGAGGACTTGCTGCTGGCTGGCGATGCGGCTCCAGTCTTGCGACTCTCTCTTCTGAGCCAGCAGTTCTGTAAACTTTTCAATTTCCGCATTTCGCAAATTCTTAAGAGCCTCCGCCCCCCCAGTGACGGCCGCAGCCATTTCCTCCAGCTTCGCGGAGTAGCTGTCTGTACGTACACCCCAACAGCCAAAAACTCTGCATGCGCAGCTGCTCACTTGTGCACACAAAGGCAGTGTACGTACACCCCAGCCACGCAAGACCGGTTCTGCACACATGCAAATTGTACGCATTCAATTGAAGGCATTTGCATGCATGCATGCATGCATGCATGCATGCAAATATAAATGCATGCATGCATGCATGCATGCATGCACTATTCGTGCATTTGGACCGGCTCAACTGCGAGGTGGATAGACACAAAAAGGCGAAAACGCCACTTCAAGAGCTGTAGCAAACGCAGCCAAGAATGAGAAAAGATAAAATAAAATAAAACAAAAGGTCCGAGCCACTAAAACAGCAAATAATTCGGAAAATAAATAAAAAAAGAATTCAAATGATCCAAAAAAGAGGAGAGAAAACGAACAAGTGACCTGCAGAGCCCCGTGGGCTAAACTGGCACAGCAACGCAACTCCCAAGGCAGCTAAACGAAAGAAGCACATGCCCGCCAACCAATTAAAACCAATGAATTAATTTTAATTAATTAAAATTGAATTAATTAATTAATTAATTAATTAATTAATTAGCTTGAATTAATCCGGGAGAACAATCAACTCGCTGCTTGATCTGCGCAGCCAGGCATCCCAGGAGCGGCTCGAGGGAGTCAACTGAAGCCTCGACTGGGAAATAAAAGTGAAAATTGGAATTAAAAAAGTGAAAATTGGAATTAAAAAAGTGAAAATTGGAATTAAAAAAGTGAAAATTGAAATAAAAAGCGAAAATTAGAACAAAAAAGTTGAAATTAGAATTGATTTTGAATTAAAAACAAAAAATAAAGTCCACTGACTGAGTTGCTCCCCGATTAGCTGCGAGCGGACCTCGCATTCGTGTTTGTAGGCCAGCGCGCCCTGCAGCACGCGCTGCACTCCAGCAGCAGCAGCAGCAGCAGCAGCAGCAGCTTCTTCAACTGCTGCTACCAGCTGCTTCGCCGTGAGTTTCTCGGGGCTGCAGTCTTGGGAGCCTGCGCAGGAGCCGTCAGCAGCAGCAGCAGCAGCAGCAGCAGCAGCTGCTGCTGCTGCTGCTGCTGACGGCCTTTGGGAAGAGCTCACAGGACCCAGCAACTCTGCTGCTGCTGCTGAGGACTCTGCTGCTCCTGCTGCAGCAGCAAGCCGCGAGGCTGCTCCTGCTGCTCCTGCGGCCTGTGCTGCTCGTGCTGCTGCTGCGCTTCCTTGTGCTGCAGCTGCATCAGCTGCTGCTGCCCCCCCTGCGGCTTTTGGCCCCCCTGCTCCCCCTGCTGCCAGCTTTGCTGCTGCTGCTGCTGCTGCTGCTGCTGCTTCACTCTTCGCTAGCAACTCTGCAGCAGCACCTTCTATGCTGCTGCGCGCCAGCAAGTCCGTGGGGGGGGCCCCCAGGGGGGCCCCCACATGGGGCCCCCGTCCTGAGGGGCCCTTTGCGGGCTTTTCTGCTGCGGTCTGGCCCCCCAGCAGCAGCAACTGCAGCAGCAGCAGCAGCAGCAGCAGCAAGGGGGACCGCTGGTGGAGCCACAGCAAAGGGCCCATTGCGGGAAAAACCTCTCTGCTGCTGATATTTGCTGCTGCTGCTTTCACTTAGAATGCTGCAGGCTGGTGAAGCAGCCGAAGCAAATGCATGCATGCAACAAAGCCCCAAAGTGCTGCTGCAAGCCCCATAGGGCACAGGCCCCTGAGGTGCATGCGAGTGCAGCAGCAGCAGCAGCAGCAGCACGAGGCTCAGCCGCAGCAGCAGCAGCTGAGGCCCCTAGGTGGCTGCAAAGCGCAGCAGCTGCTGCAGCAGCAAGACAGCCAGCACTAGCAGCAAGTGGTGCCCCCTCTGCAGCGTCTTTGAAGAGTCAAAGACAGCAGCAGCAGCAGCAACAGCAGCGCAGCAAAGTCGATGAGCGAGGCCTCGCTGAGGAGGCCAACTCGGCTTCTGCTGCTGCTGCTGCTGCTGCCTCTCTTCAAATGCTGCCCCGAGATCGACAGACCAGGAAGCCTCAAAAGATATTCCGCTGCTGCTGCTTCTGGCGCTGCTGTCACTGGTGTTGCTGGCGCTGCTGCTGCTGCTGCTGCTGCTGCTGCTGCTGCTTTTGCCTTGAGTCCCACGCTGCAGCCCTGTAGGGCCTTGGCTTGTCTTCTTTGGATTTCTGAGTCCCCTGCGTCTCAAAAAGCTGATAAAAATGAGAAGAAGAGAGGACGCTGCAGTTGCTGCTGCAGGTGCTGCTGCAGCAGCTGCTGCCGCAGATCTTCGGCTGTCGACGGCTGCTGCTGCTGCTGTAGCCTTCGCTGGAGCAGCAGCAGAGCCTGCTGGCTGCTGCATGCAGCAGATCTTTGCAAATATCTTTTAAATAGTTATTAAGGCAACAGCATTTATCCAAATTTGCCACAAAAGATATTTTTTCAAGTCTGAAATGCATGCAAAGAACTGGAGCCACCCCGGCGACGCAGGGCTTGCTGCTGCTCCGGAGCGCGTTCACCGAGCCCCCTTTTCTGCGCGAAGTTCTCAGTCTTTGTTTCTCCTTCATCTCTTTAAAATTAAAAAATATATTAATTAAAGACACTGCGACAAAATTGCGAAGATAAGAAACAACACAGCAGCAGCAGCAGCAGCAGCTGCTGCTGCTGCGCCAGGCGGGGGCATTTCTTGCAGCGCCGAAAACCCACACTTTGGTGCCCCTGGATTGTTTGCTGCTGCTGCTGCTGCTGCTTCTGCTGCAGCTTGTCTGCCACAAACGCGCGCAGCCCCGTAGTTGAGTGCTGCAGCAGCATTTAAGCAGCATGGGGGGCCGTGCTGCAGCACGAGCAGCAGGAGGCAGCAAAAGGGTCTTGAGAAAAAAGAACGAAGTTCCAAACTGCTCTCCAAAGGCCAACTGGGCCAGCTGCTGCTGCAGCAGCAGGGGAGCAGCAAGGGCCTCACAGCTGCAGCAGCGCTGGAGGCCCAGGCTAGCTGGGGCCTGCTGCTCCCCAGTCGGCCCCGAGAGCAGCAGCAGCAGCAGCAGCAGCAGCAGCAGCAGCAGCAGCAGCGGAAGCTGCAGCTGCTGCTGCAGCGGTCTGCGGGGGCTCTTTAGCTGGTGCCACTCTGTGGCTTTGGGGGCTGTTGTAGAGGCGCTGCTGCTGCATTGCTGCTGCGCTGCTGCTGCGTTGCTGCTGCATTGCTGCTGCGCTGCTGCTGCGTTGCTGCTGCGCTGCTGCTGCGTTGCTGCTGCGCTGCTGCTGCTGTGAGGCCCCCCTGGGGCCCTTTGGGGCCCTCTGAAGAGGAAGAGGCCGAAGGGCAGCTAGCCAGCAACGCCCTTAGAGGGTCGTTTGCTGCACAGCTAGCTGCTTAGCTAGCTGCACAGCTAGCTACTTAGCTAGCTGCACAGCTAGAGGGTCGTTTGCTTCACAGCTAGCTGCTTAGCTAGCTGCACAGCTAGCTGCTTAGCTAGCTGCTTAGCTAGCTGCTTAGCTAGCTGCTTAGCTAGCTGCTTAGCTAGCTGCACAGCTAGCTGCTTAGCTAGCTGCACAGCTAGCTGCTTAGCTAGCTGCACAGCTAGCTGCTTAGCTAGCTGCTCAGCTAGCTGCACAGCTAGCTGCTTAGCTAGCTGCACAGCTAGCTGCTTAGCTAGCAGTACAGCTAGCTGCTCAGCTAGCTGCACAGCTAGCTACTTAGCTAGCTGCACAGCTAGCTGCTTAGTTAGCAGCACATCTAGCTGCATAGCTACCTGCACAGCTAGCCGCATAGCTAGCTGCATAGCTAGCTGCATGGCTAGCTGCGTAGCTAGCTGCTGCGGGGCCCAGCAGCAGCAACAAAATGGCTGCTTTGGCGAGGCAGCAAAGCACAGCAGCTAGCCAAGGCCGCTGCTGCAGCACTTTGGGAAAAGTTTGTAATCTGTTGGTAATAAAGAATAATTTTAATTTGTTGTTTTGAGAATTCCAAAAATGCCATTTGTGCCATTAATTGAAAAATAAAAGCAATTAAATGCAAGAAGGACATTAAGTCTAGATTTTCTCAATTCAAAAAAGGCCTCAGCTCTTAATTTCTTTATTTCCTGTTTTCTCTTTGAGGCTGCTGCTGCTGCTGCTGCTAGTGCTGCTGCTGCTGCTGCTGCTGTCCTGGCAGCAGGGGCTTTTTGCTTTTGGCTTACGCACAGCCTGACAAGTTCATAATATCACTTTAAGGCTTGGGGCTGCATGCACGCGCTTCTTGCTGCTGCCCCGGCCAGCAGCAGCAGCAGCAGCTGCTGCTGCAGCAGCAGCTGCTGCAGCAGCAGCAGCAGCGGCAGGTTAGAAAGTGAACAGCCATTGTAGATGATGCCTGCATCAGCCCGTGTTCTAGTGAGCAGCTGGCAGCGGAGCCTTCCTGCTGCTGCTGCTGCTGCTGCTGCTGCTGCACCTGGCTGATTAGCCAGCTCGGCGAGGCCCCGCTAGCTAGCTAGCTAGCTAGCTCAGGGAGAGCTACACAGCTAGCTAGCTAGCTAGCTAGCTAACCCGGGGACAGCTACATAACTAGCTAGCTAGCTGGCTAGCTAGCTAGCTAGCTAGCTAGCTAGCTAGCTAGCGGAGGGCCAGATAGCTACCTAGCTGGCCATCCAAGTCGAATATAGTCACGCAGCTAGCTAGATAACTAGCTAGCTAGCCAGCTGGCTAGCTGGGCCAACACTTCGGAGAAGCAAATGGGCTCGAAAAGAATAGTAAGGAAGTGCAGCAGCAGCAGCAGCAGCAGCAGCAGCAGCAGCAGGACTTCCTGGTAATAGTGGTGGAAACAAAAAGTACAAATGGCAGCAGCACTTAAAACAATAAAAAGAAATAAAAAACAATAAAAAGAAATAATTACAAGAGAAATGATAATAGTAATAATAACAATAAGACCAGTGGCTGTAGTTAATATTAATGGCAAATAAAATAATAATTAAAATAATTAAAATGCAAATTAAAAAGAATAAAAATAAATAATAAAATATTAATGGCAATGGCAATAGTGGCAGAAGTGGTAGTAGAAGAAATATTAAAAAACCCTAATCGATTAACCTTAACGATGAAACGCCCCTAAACCCTAAACCCTAAACCCTAAACCCTAAACCCTAAACTCTAAACCCTAAGCCCTGAACCGCCCTTTGGCTGCTGCAGCAGTTTATGAAGAGGGAAAGAAGGCGCAGCAGCCTCGCAGTAAGACAAGACAGCTGCAACGTAAAGAAAGTAAAGTAAAGTAGCTGCAGCAGCAGCAGCAGCTGCAGCAGCATCATCTGTTGTTTGCTGCAGCTGCTGCTGCAGTTGTTTGCTGCAGCAGCTGCAGCAGCAGCTGCAGCAGCAGCTGCAGCAGCAGCTGCAGCAGCAGCTGCAGCAGCAGCCACACTCAGCAGTTTATTTTTTCTTTTTGGCTTCTTTTGCTGGCGTTCTTTCTTTGGCCTTTTGCTCAATACTTTTTCTCAAGTTATTTTGCAGGATTTGTCTGGCTAGGGGGTTGCGGCTGCGCGTTGCTGCTGCTGCTGGCGCTGCTGCTGCAGCAGCAGCAGCAGCACGAAAGGCCCTCTTGGCAGCAGCAGCAGCAGCAGCGCCGCAGCCGTGCACCTCCGGCATTGCGTGCTGCAGACAAAATCTGCTGCTGCAGTGCGGGCAGCAGCGGCCCAGCCAGTCTGCTGCTTCTTTGCATGCATGCATGCTGCAGCACTTGTTTGCTGCTTGCTGCTGCAGCAGCAGCAGCTCAAAGTCCTCCTCGCTCTCCTCCTTTCCCGCTGCAGCCTTGCCGCCCTTGCGCGCCCTTCCCCGCCCCTGCTTCCGCTGCTTCTGCTGCTGCTGCCGCTGCTGCTGCTGCTGCTGCTGCTGCTGCTGCGGCTCGGAAGCTGCTGCTGCTGCTGCTGCTGCTGCTGCTGCATCTTCTTCCCCAGAAGTCCCCAGTTCCAGCGAGCTGCTGCTCTCCTCTTGTGTCTCTTCATCTGTCTCCACTTCCGAAGGCTTTTTCTTTTCCTTTGCTGCTGCCCCTTTGCCTTTGCTGCTGCGCGCGCCCCCCGCTGCTGCTGCTGCTCCCTCCCCCCCCGCAGCAGCAGCAGCAGCAGCAGCAGCAGCAGCAGCAGCAGGCGCCCTCACCCAAACCTCCACATGCCTCTCAAGACCCTCCCCTCTAGACTCATGCCCCAGCTGCAGTTCTGCTGCCAGCTGATGCACCAGCAGCCGCTGATAAGAAGAAAGTGAACAAGGAAATGAATAATGCCATTCACTAGGGGGCCCCCGGGGGCCCCCAGGGCCCCAGGGGCCCCCGGGGCCCCCGGGGCCCCCGGGGCCCCCGGGGCCCCCGGGGCCCCCGGGGGCCCCAGACCCAGGGGGGCCCCCGGGGCCCCCGGGGCCCCCGGGGGCCCCAAACCCAGGGGGGCCCCCGGGGCCCCCGGGGGCCCCAGACCCAGGGGGGCCCCCGGGGCCCCCGGGGCCCCCAGCCCCCGGGGGGCCCCCGGGGCTCCCAGACTCTGGGGTGCCCCTGGGGCCCCCAGACTCCGGGGGGGGGCCAGGGGCCTCAGGCCCCGGGGGCCCCCCGGGGGCCCCCCTGGGCTCTAGGGGGCCCCTGGGGGCCCCCTTAGACTTCAGGGGGCCCCCTGGGGCCCCCTTAGACTCCAGGGGGCCCCCAAGGGCCCTGCGGCGCAGATCTTCAAGCAGCTGCCGCGTCTCCCTCATGAAGGCATCTTCAAGGGGAGTGGGGGCCCCTTGGGGGCCCCCCGCACTCTCGCAAGCAGCAGCAGCAGCAGCAGCAGCAGCAGCAGCAGGAGCAGCAGCAGCAGCAGGGCGGTTCCCCTGCTGTTTCTTCGGGACGCGAGGCTGTCCGTTAGCTGAGGCCGCTGCAGCGCCTTTGCCGCTGCTGCTGCTGCTGCTGGCTGGCCTTGGCTGCTGCTGCTGCTGCTGCTGCTGCTGCTGCTGCTGCAGCAGCTGCTGCAGCTGCAGCTGCTGGGGGCTTGTTTGGGGGGGCGGGTTACGGTCTCGGAGTCTCCAATAATGACTAAGTGGCTGCGGGCTCTGGTAGCAGCAACATTTAGTCTTCTGGAGTCTTCAAGAAATCCAATTAGTTTGCTGCTGTTGCTGCGGACAAGAGAAATGACAATAACTTCTTTTTCCCGCCCCTGGAACCCGTCCACAGTCTGCACGCAGACCTCCCGCAGCAGCCCCCCGCTGCTGCTGCTGCTGCTGCTGCTGCTGCTGCTGCTGCTGCTGCTGCTGCTGCTGCTGGGGGCTGCTGCTGCGTCTGCGTCTGCTGCTGCCAGCAGCTGGCGAATCAGCTGCGCCTGCGCAGCGTAAGGAGTTATAACTCCAATTTCTTTCGGAGGAATTCCAAAAACTTCGACAAGTTCTTGCACGTATTTCCGTGCAAGTGCGGCTTCTGCGCGGTTGCTGCGCGAGCAGCGCAGCCCCGCTGCTGCTGCTGCTGCTGCTGCTGCTGCAGCAGCAGCAGCAGCAGCGGCGGGGCGCGGGGGGCCCAGCTCGTCCTCCTGCAGCCAAGAGATGCCCGCCGTGTCTATCCAGACGACGGGCAGCAGCGCAGCAGCAGCAGCAGCAGCAGCAGGAGTTGCTGCAGCAAGGCTGCGGGCGTGGAGGCCAGCAGCAGCAACAAGGCGGCCGCCGTAGAAGCAGCTGCTGCTCCAGCGCATGATGTGGGGGTGCATGCGGAACTGCAGCAGCAGCTGCTGCGCTGCAGCAGACCCCAGCAGCAGCTGCTGCCGCTCAAAGAGGGACTTTCCCAAACCCTTAAAAAGGGCTTTGCTGCTCTTCACTGTCGGCGGCAGCTGCAGGTGATCTCCAGCCAACACGCAGCGCCGGCCCAGCAGCAAACTTATCCAGCAGCAAGCCTCCACCGCCTGCACCACCCACACACTCCACCTGCTGCTGCTGCTGCTGCTGCTGCTGCTGCTGCTGCTGCTGCTGCTGCTGCTGTGGTGCTGCTGCAGCAGGTGCTGCTGCAGCAGGTGCTGCTGCAGCAGGTGCTGCTGCTGCGGGTGCAGCTGCAGGTGCACAGCTGTGGCTGCAGGTGCTGCTGCTGCTGCAGTTGCTGCTGCTGCTGCTGCTGCAGCTGCTGCTGCAGCTGCTGAGGCGGCGGAAGAAAGTTATGCCGCCCAGAGTCAAAAGGAAACCAACGAGCACATAAAATGGAGCAGCAGCAGTCAGGCAGCAGCAGCAGCTAGGCAGCAGCAGCAGCCAGGCAGCAGCAGCAGCCAGGCAGCAGCAGCAACGAACAGGCAGGAGGCGTTTTTCCAGCAGCAGCAGCAGCAGCAGCAGGAACAGCAGCAGCACGAGCAGCAGCAGCAGCAGGAGCTGACCTGGGCGGCCTCGTCTACGACGACGACATCGAAGGGCAGCGGCCGTTCCTTATCAGCAGCATCCCCGCCTTTGCTGCTGCTGCTGCTGCTGCTGCTGCTGCTGCTGCTGCTGCTGCCCCTGGCGAGCCGCTGCAGCGCAGGATCTGCTGCTCCTGCGCAAGTGGCAAAAACAATTGGAGCTGCTGCGAGGGTTTCTCGAAGAGCTTTCTTTTGCTGCTGCTGCAGCTCCTTGCGGAGGCGCTTGGCTTCTGCGCGCAGCTCGCGGCGCCGCTCCCGCTGCTGCTGCTGCTGCTGCTGCTGCTGCTGCTGCTGCTGCTGGCGGCCAAGCTCGCGCAGCACGCTGTCCAGCTCATTCTTCAAGTCCCTCAAAAGCTCTCCAGAGTCACTTTTAAATTGCTGCTGCTCCAAACAAAATGCTGCCAGCTGCTCGTCCACCCGCGCGGGGTGGCCTATTCGCACGCAGCGCCGCAGCTGCTGCAGCAGCAGCTGCCCCCTGCTGCTGCTGCTGCTGCTGCTGCTGCTGCTGCTGCTGCTGCTGCTGCTGCTTTTGCCGCTGCCGCTGCTGCTGCCGCCGCTGCTGCTGCTGCCACTGCTGCCGCCGCCGCCGCTGCCGCCGCTGCTGCTGCCGCTGCTGCTGCTGCCGCTGCTGCTGCTGCTGCTGCTGCTGCTGCTGCTGCAGCAGGCCCTGGCCACTGCAAGGCAGCGCTCGAGGAGGTTGTCCACAGCGACGTTGCTGGGGGCGACGGCGAGGACGCGGCAGCCTGCTGCCAGCAGCTGCAGCAGCAGCTCAACTGCAGCAGCAGTTTTGCCAGTGCCGGGGGGCCCGTGGATTAAAGCCAAGTCCAGAGAAAGCAGCCCCAAGTAAACAGCTTGCTGCTGCTGCTGCGTCAGCCCCGGGCTGAACCAGGGGCCCCCGGGGGCCCCTGCTGCTTGCTGCTGCAGCGCTGCTGCTGGCAGCAGCACTTCGCGCCAGTCCCGCAGCAGCGGCTCGCCCCGCGCGCCCGCCGCCCCTGCTGCTGCTGCTGCTGCAGCAGCAGCAGCAGCAGCAGCAGCGGGCCCCGTGCTGCCAGCAGCAGCAGCAGCAGGAAACGGCAAGAACCGGGGCCGAGACTTCCCGAAGCAAACTGCCACCAAGTGCTGCGCGGGGCTGCTCTCTGAGCTGTCCAGCAGCAAACGGCGCAGCGCAGCTTTTTGTCTTTTAATTGTAACTTCATTGGCCACCAAACAAAGGGTATAGACGGGGCCCCAGGGGCCCCCGGGGGGCCCCCCCGGGGGCCCCCCCGGGCTGCTGCAGCCAAGCTTCAGCAGCAGCTTCGTCAAAAGCCACACTTATTCCCCAAGGAAGAATCTTGTGGACAACTCCAGAGGCCACTGCGCTGCTGCTGCCAGCAATGGGCCTGTCGTGGGGGAAAACGCCCACAATGTCCCCCGGGGAGAGCCGGTGCTGCTGCTGCTGCTGCTGCTGCTGCTGCTGCTGCTGCTGCTGCTGCGGGGAGGAGTGCAGCTGCTGCAGCGCAGCACGCTTGCAGGTAAAAGACACCAGCGTGCGGCCATATAAGCCAGAAGTCACTTCAGTCACAACGAGCCGCGGCAGCGCCACGCCGGAGTCCGCGAGCTGCTGCAGCGAGAGGCTCTGCAGCAGCTCCTCGAGTTCAGCTTTTTCTGCTGCTGCTTCCTCGCTCAGCAGCGCCTCGTGCAGCTCCACAAACTCCTCCACGGCGCTCCCCATTGCAGCAGCAAACGCAGTGGACCACTCAAGTGGACCACTGGTCCTTTCTGGCGGCCGCTGGCTGGCGGGAGGGCGCCTGCGGGAGGCGCCGCCCAGCTCCGCGCGAAGACCCCCCCCAAACCGCGCCCATTGAACTGCCTACGAAGTGATCACCCAGTCCGTTGAATGCAGCTTCTCAAATGATGCGGATTTGCAAAAAAGAATTCAAAAAGGCCGCAGGTTTCTCCCCAAAAAGTCCAAGTTCCTCCGGGCGGCTCCCGAAGTCCAAGGCGCAGTGTCGGCTGTCCGGCGGTACAATAGGAAACGCCTGCGCCAGGTGCTGCCAATTATATCTTTTTGGAATTCACAATTAACATTAAAATAAATAATAAAAAGAATAAATATAACAATAAAGAAAATGATGAACTTTTACTGCGGGAAGTCCCGTTGGGGGCTCCGCTCAGAGCAGCTTCCGCCTGCATGCGCCTTCTCGCTGCAGCAGCTGCCAGCGACAGTCCGCACGACAAATCGAGCAGATTTCTCCAATTTTCGTCTTTTTAAACTTCTTCAGCATCAGTTATGCCGCATTTAAAGGTAATTTCACGAAAAATAAACAGCATTTGGGTCATTTGGCCCCTCCAGCCGCCAGGCCATTCGAGTTCGGCGCTGGAAGCGGCAGTTCAAGTTTTCGTGCAGTGTCTGTACACCCCAATTGAGCCGCCAAATGCTCACAAAAGACTTTTCTAGCGGCCAGTTTTAGAAGAGTTATAATACAACTAAATTAATTTACTCTAATATAGTGTTTGGAGTTGTTATTAGATTAAAAAAATGTAAATTTATATTAAAAATATTTCTTTTAATGGTAATTCTGCCGTATTAGTAGATAAAATTTAAATCCAGTAAGATCTCGTATATTTGGAACTATTCCTAAATTAAGTCTCTCAATAATGGCAAATTCAGCTGCGCCGAGGGGCCAGCTGCAGCAGCTGCAGCAGCAGCAGCAGCAGCTAAATTGCCGAACGACTGCTGCTGCTGGTGCTATTGCTGCCGCTGCTGCTGTTGCAACTGCTGCTGCTGCAGCTGCTGCTGCTTCTGCTGCTGCTGCTGGCCTCAACGCAGGCCTGGTGCAGCAGGGGCTGCTGCGGAGCTGCTGCGCACGCCCCTGCTGCACTGCAGCAGCAGCAGCAGCAGCAGCAGCAGCAGCATCTGCTGGCCCAGGGCAGCAGCAAACAAATAAAAACCAAGCAGCAAAAAACATTTTTAATTTCAATTAAAAAGGGCCTGAGGTCTAAGCAGCTCGAATTAAAAATGGAATAAAAAAAGAAATTGAATTTCATTTTAATTCCATTTTTAATTCTAGTTTGAACTGCAGTTCAAATCTGAACTTCAACTCTACTGCGAAACAAAATTTAAACTTCAAATCCAAACTCTAACTCTAATCTTTATTCAAATTCAAATTAAAACTCAAATTTAAATTTAAATTTAAAATCAAATTTAAATTTAAATTTAAATTTAAATTTAAATTTAAATTTAAATTTGATTTTAAATTTGAATTTAAATTCAACTTCCAATTAAGTCTGTAGTTCCAATTCGAGTTCCAGGCCAAATTCAATTTGGATTCAAATTCAGTTTTAAATCTAATTCAAATTAAATTGGATTTAAATTTAAATTTAATTTTAAATTTAATTTTAAATTTAATTTTAAATTTAATTTTAAATTTAATTTTAAATTTAATTTCAAATTTAATTTTAAATCCAATTCAATTTGAAACTCAGTTTCGAATTTGAATTTGAATTTTTGTTCAAGTTGAATTTCTGATTCGAATTCGTCTTCTCATTGAATTTCTTTTTTTAAATTTAATTTTAAATAAAACTTTTGATTTAAAAATAAATAAAAAGAATTTAATTCAAGTTTTAATTCAAGTTCAGATCCAGTCAAGAAAGAAGGCTGTTTACCACCACGTCGGGCTGCAGCAGCGCACAAACAGCAGCGGCAGCAGCAGCAGCAGCAGCAGCAGCAACAACAACGCAGCAGTTCTTTCCCTAAACATTCAAGCAGACAAAGCTGCTGCTGCTGCATGCATGCGCCTCAGCTGCTGCTGCCGCATGCATGCGTTCCAGCTGCAGCAGCAGCAACGCCAGCGCTGCTGCTGCTGCTGCTGCTGCTGCTGCTGCTGCAGACTGCTGCTTCCCTCCTCTGCACTAAACCCCTCAACGTGCCCAGTAGACGCAGCAGCTTCTCAATAACGACGCAAACACGTCAATCGTACGTACGTACGAACAGTTGCATGCATGCAACTGCATGCATGCATGCAACTGCATGCAA